CCCGCTCCCGCCTGCAAATTCCGCAAGATGGGTACATTCACTTTCTTGAGCTTTATCAAATACAGAGAAGCGGAAAGAAATTGTATATGTTGTTGTATATGTTATAACTGAATATATTGGACAGAAAAAGTACCAAACTGAAAGATTATCTGATTATTTTACAGAACATTTAAACTTAAAGGTCATATATATTAACGCAAAATTGACTCTTGAGAACTTTAAGCCGTGTTATAATGTTGTTTCCTCATCAAAAACAGACCTGGAGTTGTGTTTTGTGTTTTTATTCACACATGTTTGAGTAACTCTTTATTATTAGTCTGTCTACGTCCCCAAACCTCACTCAAAACACAACTCCAGATCTGTTTGTGATGAGGAAACAAGATTATAACTTAGATCATAAAATAGCATAATATGGGACCTTTAAATGAGTAACAAAAAAACACCAAAACATGCAAATAGGCCCCACTAGGTCGAGGAATTGAACCAGAAACCCTCTTGTGGTAAGGTGAGAGTTAAACTGCACAGCTAAAAGGAAAAGAAGACTGCACCCAAATGTGTCTTAATGCAAGATTTTCCACTTGAATTAATGAGAGAGTCTAAAAAGGCACATAATTACTCTGCTACATGTGTGAAATCTGCGATAGGAGCTGCCATGACAACTGCATTTGTGTTCAACTTTTTAATCTCGGCTTTGTTTTAAGAGTAACCTTCAATTTTCTGCACTTTATGTTCTTTTCTCATTTATTCTGTCAATCTAAGACTTATCGTTTGTGCTTATAAAAAAAACAACAACAAATTATGAATGTATGAATGCAATTATAGTGTTAAAAAATGTCAGTACGGCACACAAGTAATCTTCAACTTTCCATAAAAGCATTCATAAGTAACTTAAAGGTGCACAGTGTAACTTTTTGCTCCGCTTGGAATGTTCCACAGTGTGGCATTGAACAGCTCTACTTTACATTTATTCAATTACAGGCAGTGTTGGGAAGGTGACTTTTAAAATGTAATCCCCTACAGATTACAGATTACATACCCCAAAATGTAGTTTGTAAAGGAATCCATTAAATTACTTAAAGTGAGTAATGTAATCTGAATACTTTGGATTACTTGATTTGCTGTAGAGAAGCAAAGACGAGGAAATCTTCACACGAGATGTTTTGTCTGATAAAAGAAAATGAAAAAGCCCAGACTTTACTTAACCATATTAAAAGTATTATTGATAGAAGAGGAGGAGACACAAGTCTGCACAGCCTGGTTTAGTCCTGTTAAATCCTGTTTGAGACCTAGTTTAGACCTGGTTTTAGTCCTGGTTTAGTTCTGGTTTAATCTTGGTTTAGTCCTGGTTTAGACCTGGTTTGGACCTGGTTTAGACTTGGTTTTAGTCCTGGTTTAGTCCTAGTTTAGACCTGGATTTAGACCTGGTTTAGACCAGGTTTAGACCTGGTTTAGACCTGGTTTAGACCTGGTTTAGACCTGGTTTAGGTTTAGACCTGGTTTAGACCTGGTTTAGACCTGGTTTTAGACCTGGTTTAGTCCTGGTTTAGACCTGGTTTAGACCTGGTTTAGATCTGGTTTAGACCTGATTTTAGACCTAGTTTTAGACATGGTTTAGTCCTGGTTTAGTCCTGGTTTAGACCTGGTTTAGACCTGGTTTTAGACCTAGTTTTAGACTGTGGTTTAGTCCTGGTTTAGACCTGGTTTTAGACCTGTTTAGACCTGGTTTTAGACCTGGTTTAGACCTGGTTTAGACCTGGTTTAGTGTCCAGCAATGAGTGGAATTACAAAAAAAAAAAAAAAAGGATATAGCCCAAAATGTGAAAACAGGAAAATACCGCTGTTTAATCCATTTATTTCAACAAAGTAACTGTAATCTAATTACCACTCACTGAAACAGTAACTGTAATCGAATACAGTTACTCATAATTTGTACTCTGATTACGTAACTCTGGTACATGTAATCTGTTACTCCTCAACACTGATTACAGGTGATTTTACAGCTCAAAAATACCTAGAAAAATTGACATTCTGACTTGTAACTTGGTCTGGTTTGGGTTCTATGAGGATAGAAAGGTTTAATGCCGTATTGTGAAACATTCCAGACAAAGCAATAACGTGGAAAAAAGCATTTGACGGATCCTCCAGCAGAAAAGTTACACAATGCGCCTTTAACAAAGAGCCAATCGAGATACAAAGGTACATTGTGCAAATATATGCGCTGTACTTTAGATTAGGCTGAGAGTAAAAGCTTTCATAAGATCTATTATAATATTTGACATCAATTACTCGCATAAAACTATTTACTATTTATCAAACACACTGAACTCATGGATTAAATGGATTAAAATGAAAACAAATCATCTGACTGAATTTTTTATTTCTGTTTTGTTGTGTCATGTCGCTGTGTTTTCCATTATCCTGTAAGCCCCTCTAGTATTACATTTACATAATATAACAATAATTCAAGCCAAGGTGAGACTTTACTATTGTCATTAATTGGATATAAATTAGGAAATATTAAGTTTTTAGTGCAAATTTATTTCAGTGACAATGGTGCGTAAGAAAAAAGTAAATTAGGGCTGTTCTTTCACCTGTTCATTGTTTCAAATAGACCTTTCTTTCGATCGTTAATATTATTATTGTTGTTTTGAGATGTGTGTGTAAATCCTATGTGCATAGAGCAGTGTGTCTGGTGAAGTGAATGAGACTGGGGCAACCGGGGTGAGCTGGAGACCAAGTGCCTGTTATTAAGTGCATCATGGCAAATAAAGCCAAAAAACTCTTGAGCAACAAACTGCAGTGGTTATTGGGCTCACGCACTCATGAGGTTCAGAATAAACCTCAAAGGACGAGCGGCTGCTGCGACTCTCCGGCCCTGGAGAAGAACACGGATCTCTCTTCTGTCCTCTGACCACGGTAGTATTATTATTATTAGTAGAGAAGTAGTAGAAGTAGTAGTAACAGTAGGAGGAGTAGTAGGAGTAGTAGTAGTAGTAGTAGCAGTAGCAGTAGTAGGAGTAGCAGTAGTAGTAGTAGTAGTAGCAGTAGTAGTAGTAGTAGTAGTAGTAGTAGTAGTAGTAGTAGTAGTAGTAGTAGTAGTAGTAGTAGTAGTAGTAGTAGTAGTAGTAGTAGTAGTAGTAGTAGTAGTAGTAGTAGTAGTAGTAGTAGTAGTAGTAGTAGTAGTAGTAGTAGTAGTAGTAGTAGTAGTAGTAGTAGTAGTAGTAGTAGTAGTAGTAGTAGTAGTAGTAGCGTAGTAGTAGTAGTAGGAGGAGGAGTAGCAGTAGTAGTAGTAATAATAGGAGTAGTAGGAGCAGGAGCAGTAGTAGTAGTAGTAGTAGTAGTAGTAGTAGTAGTAGTAGTAGTAGTAGTAGGAGGAGTAGTAGTAGTAGGAGTAGTAGGAGGAGGAGTAGTAGTAGTAATAGGAGTCATAATATTAACAGTAGTAGTAGTAGTAGGAGGAGTAGCAGTAGTAGTAGTAGTAATAGGAGTAGTAGGTGCAGTAGTACTAGTAGTAGTAGTAGTAGTAGTAGTAGTAGTAGAGCAGTAGTAGTAGTAGTAGTAGTAGTAGTAGTAGTAGTAGTAAGTAGTAGTAGTAGTAGTAGTAGCAGTAGTAGGAGAAGTAGTAGAAGTTGTTGTAGTAGTAGTAGTAGTAGGAGTAGAAGTAGGAGTAGTAGTAGTAGTAGTAGTAGCAGTAGTAGTGGTAACAGTAGTAGGAGTAGAAGTAGTAGTAGTAGTAGTAGTAGTAGTAGTAGTAGGAGTAGTAGCAGTAGTAGGAGTAGAAGTAGTAGGAGCAGTAGTAGTAGTAGAATAGTAGTAGTAGTAGCAGTAGTAGTAGTAGTAGTAGTAGTTGTTGTAATAGTAGTAGGAGTAGTAGTAATAGTAGTAGGAGTAGAAAGTAGTAGTAGTAGTAGTAGTAACAGTAGTAGGAGTAATAGTAGTAGTAGAGTAGTAGTACTATATCTCGTAGTAGTCTACAGCCAAATTGTTTCATAGTCGTCGTGTTGTTAGTCTACACTAAAGTAGCATGGCATTTATTTATTTATTTCATGCACAACAAAACTTTAAAATATATACTACAAAAAACATACCACAAGCAAAACCAGGACTTAACTAAGACTAAACCAGAACTGATCCAAGTCCGAACTAAACCAGGACTATCTACAGACAACACTCGAGTGAAACCATAAAGCAGAGTGAACGTTGCAGAAGCTGAGTCCAAAACAGTGACTATGTTAGGGTGCACAGTGACACCTACTGGTCAGACATATAATTCAGAAATACACTGCATCACACATAAACACCAAACTGTACTGCATCAAATTAAATACACTGATGTAAAATATACTAAATAACAAATACCAAGATTAATAATTTACGTTATAATCAATCCTTCTTACAATATTTAAGCTCCAACATGAACAATAACTTCAAAATAAAGAGCAAAGGACAACATAATTTCAACACAACTCTTGAAAACGTAATCAATAATTCCAGTGTTTCCCACGACGACTGATTAAGAAAATTTAACCAAATGCCCATCACTAGTTTAAACAGACTGCTTAAATATGAACTACAGACAATAAGTGATATTTAAAGGAAAATTATGAATACAGAATGTTTTTGAGTCTGCATAGTCTGAAAAATAAATCTTTGGGAAACACTGCCTGTACTTTTGCAATATGCCCACAAACGAAAACCAAATCAATCTCACAAAAATAACCGATACTGCCTTAAAAACAAGATTTCGAACTCACAAAACCAACAGGAGAAAGCAGAACATTCAGACAAATACTGAAGCTAAAATAGACCCAAACTATGTCCATAAATTACACGAGTTGCAGATAAACAGGTAAACAGCGCGTGTACGAGTATATACGTGTGTAATTTGTGTAATAAAAAAGCCATCTCCCTTTGGCAACAATAAAAACCAACACAAATCACTCGAGCAAGAAATAAAGCTTACAAAAAAAGCACAAAAGTAAAGTAAAAGCTGATCCTACCTCCAGCGATGGCGGTTTTCTTCCCCACGGCGACAGTCACAGCGGTGGTGGAGATGACGATTCTTCCAGCTGGTAAAAACAAAACAAGTAATAATTAACACAAATAAACTAAAAATACTGAAACCAAGCATGCAAATGAGAGCATTGTACGGCATACACTGCAAATTTCTCTGATCAGGCCAAGATTTTAAAATGTTTATCAGGTTATTCATCTTGTTTTCAGATTTATTATGTACTTACTAGTTGTACATTGGATAAATTCTAGTCTAGAAGTAGTTTATTTTACGACAACAGATGCATCACGAATTTCGGACTTCGAGTCACTGCGCAACGCATACTGGAAAGGATTTTCCGAAAAAGTGAGCATCAAACCGCCATGTTTGTTTTCCCAGTGATACGCGTCTATTGGGATTCTAGTCTTTTCAAGTCTTTTGAAACATATCACTTTTGTTTCTTGTTCTGATATTGTCATATTTTAGTTTTGGGATTCGGACATCGTAATTGTGTGGTTGTTGGATGTTCTAACAGCGGAAAACAGTTCGAGAAATGGGCTTCTGAAGTTTGCGAACTCCATAAATGCAAAAGGGAATAAGATGTGTGTGACTGGAAACCTCCGTCCAAACTGTTTCCCTTCCCAAATGAATAGAAAAATAGTGACAAGTGAAGCGATGGGCAGGATTGATCCACATAAAGGATGAAAAAGGAAACTTTTGACTGCTGAAGAAATCATCCCAAGTTTGCAATGAACATTTTTTATGTGGAGCGCTCAACCTTGGTTACGAATTTAAAAACTCAAAGGCAAAGCGAAAGGCACCAGCTGTTCACCAAGAAACACCTTCCACTGCAAAGAGACCAAGACGTGATGTTGCTGTAAAACCACAAGAACAAGAAAGTGCAGCTCAGTTTGTTTGTCTTCTGCACCTCTCGCTTAACAAACGGGATCCTGCTTTGTTGTTGCTCCACATACAAAATATTCACTGCAAACAGGGGATGATTTCTTAGGCAGTCAAAGGTTTCCTTTTTGGTCCTTCCAGTGGATCAATCCTGCCCATCGCCTTCACCTTTCACTATTTGTCAATTCCGTTGGGAAGAGAAACAGTTTGAACAGAGGGTTGCAATCACACACATCTGATTCACTTTTGCAGGTATGGAGTTCGCAAACTTCTGAAGCCAATTTCTCGAGCCTTTTTCCGCTGTTAGGATCCAACAACCACACAATTATGAAGTCTGAATCCCAAAACTAAAATATGACAATATCAGAACCAGAAACAAAAGCGATGATTCAAAAGACTAGAAAAGTTTTGACAATTGACGCATCCCACTGGGAAAACAAACATGGTGGTTTGATGCTCACTTTTTCGGAAAATCCTTCCCAGTATGTATTGCGCGATGACCGGAAGTCTGAAATTCGTGATGTATGTATTTGTCAAGAAAAACTATCTTGCTGCATGGACAGATTATTTCACAACTTTTAAGTCATTTTCTGATAGATTTAAGTGTTTATATCTTAATTTTGGCCAAGCTTTTTGCAGTGTATGAACAGAAAATATGTACATTAACTTTAACTTTGTCAGCAGGAAATGTTTGCAAATTTGTGATGATGTGCGCAGATTAAACTGATCTTAAACGTGCGTTGTGTGACTTTTCTAGTGGATCCGTCAAATGCTTTTCTCCATGGAGATGTTATTGCTTTGTCTGAAATGTTTCACAGTATGGCATTAAACCTTTCTATCACCACGGAGACCAAAACAGACCAAGATACAGGTCAGATCTGGGGAGAGGCGACGCCGCTCACAGTCAGAATGTTTGTTTTTTGAAGTATTTTTGAGCTATAAAACCAGCTGTAATTGAGTAAATAAAAATAAAGTAGAGCTGTTTAATGTCACACTGTGGAACATTCCAGACAGAGCAATGACACATCCATAAAAACAAGCAGGTGACGGACCCTCGACCAAAAAGTTACACAGTGCACCTTTAAACACAAGCCTATTTCAACTCTCTGCAAAATTAAACCTACAATTCGAAAGCCCCAATTTTTAAACATTATGTTATTGCTTTGCCTGGAATGTTCCACAGTATGATTTTAAACTTATCTATCCCCATGGAGACAAAAAATGTGACCACACCGGTCTAAATTACAGGTCAGATCTGCGGAAAGGCGAGCCCAGTCACAGTTCGAACACCTTTTTTTGAGGTATTTTTGCGCAATAAAACATCTAATATACAATAAAAGCAAGATGAACATGTGATACGGTGGCGTCTCCATGGTGACAAGGACGTGGCGGATTCTCTACCAGGAAAGTCGCATATTGAACCTTTAACTAACCTGGTTTCCACGGCAAACAACACATTCCGGGCAGAGCAACGACATCTCCAGAGAAACAAGCAGGTGATGGACTAAACATGCACATCACAGCTTTCTACTGTATATGAAGTACTGAGAATTTGTGGACAGTAGAGATTAACTTCGTCAGCGGGAAATGTTTGTAAATATGAGACTGAGCGGATGAAACTGAGCAGGTAATAATGATAAAAGCCATGCATTTATCGGCCTGTGCAAAGCTCTCATGCCGACTGACTGCTGCCAACTGTCACACAGCCTGTTTACAGACCGATTACAATCCAAATATTATACAACCAAGATCATAATAAGCAGAAACTAAGCTATAAAAACTATTTAAAGGTCCTATATTATGCGATATTGACTCTTTATGCCATGTTATAATGTTGTTTCCTCGTCGCAAACAGACCTAAAGTTGTGTTTTGTTTCATTCACTCACACATGTTTAACACACAAATCCTGCATATTTAGGCTGAGTTCTTCTCTCAAACAGAAAACACTCTGCTCCACCTTGTGACGTCATCTGGTAATACAGGAAGTGCTCCACTGTGTTTTTAAACTCCATACACCTTCACTCGAATCATTTGGATCGTTTTAGTCCTGGAATTGCTGATCTCTACTGAACAATATAAAAGAACTTCGCACATCAGTTACTTGAGACGGGTGCGTTGGAGGAGAGGGAGCAGCCCAAGAACATAGAGAAAAATCCCGCACACCGTCTCAAATTGTGAGATTTATTAGGACAAACCACGCAACGTTTCGGCACTAAGCCTAAATTTGCAAGTAAGACAGTGTGTGGGATTTTTCTCTATGATCTCTACTGAATGAAGGTAACTTGAAAACTTTCGCTTCATGACATCACAAGGTGGAACAGAGCATTTTGAGTTTTGAAGATCTAGTTAGAGCAGACATGTCAAACTCAGGTCCAGGGGCAAAATTTGGCCCACGATATAATTATATTTGGCCTTTGAGATCATATCAAATGTATTGGAGCTGTCCGCCGGCTACACACAGACTATAGAGACATTATTTATTTAAAATGTTGTTATTATTTTGTATTTTGCTTGTTCTGGATTCAATGTTGAAGCAAAACTATTATTAAACATTTAAATACATTTAACATTTTAAAAAAACATTTACAAAAGTTAAAGTTTGACAAAGTTTGTGTCAGTTTTTAAATAAGGTTTGAAAACAAACACAACTCTCTTTTTCAGAAAACATAAAACATATCATTTAGTAGATAAGTGGATTTAAAAAAAAAAAACTTAAATAGAAAGCTTGCATGCCTAGTAATTGACAGTTTTCCTCTACCCTCCTCCCCCTCTTCCTCCATCTCCTCTTCCTCCTCCTCCTCCTCATCATCATCCTCTTCTTCCTCCTCTTCTTCTTCTCTGTTAACCTCCCTGCGCTCTCTCACTCCCTCCTCCTCTTCCTCCGACTCGACGTCCACCTCCTCTGAACTCAAGGTGGCGCTATAGTCGGCCTCATAGTCCCTAAATACATCTGAACGTACATCGACAAAACTATTTAACCTCTCACCGACAAAAAAAATATAGTTTGTTGAGCTGGTTTATGGATAATATCTTTGTTATAACTGGGCCTATTCACATGAAACAAAAACTGGAACAAAGTGTCGTCTCTTTCAGTATAAACTAACAAAAGTAAAGCTGTTTTTTTTCACAACAGCTTCAGTAAATAGTGCGATTATTCACCTCTAATCACGTAATTGTTGTGAGTTAATAGGACTTTAAGTCATAAAATTTATATCCCTAACAAATAATGATAAGTTTCAGCATTTGTGGATCATGAGTTTGGATATTTCTTCTAAAAACAGTGACTCTCCTCTGCCCTGCATCTGAAATTACAACACCAAATTCACTTGTATTGTAGGCACTGCTCTGTCTAAAGCTCTGTTACTCAAGTTTAGGGTGACCAGATTTTCAAAATTCTAAACTGGGACACACCTGGGTTGGGATGTTTGGTATAAATAAAATTGTGAAAAGAGTGTGTAAAATTGTGCATTCTTGTGTCAGTCATAATCTATGAGGCTTCTGTCACTGGATTTTTTTGCTTTATGGTTATTCGCAAACACAAATTTCTGTATTTTGGCAAAACAAATGACAATTTATGCTCCACTTTACTGTTGGCAGGAACCAGACTAGTCAAAATGGTGATAGTCCTGTTTTAGTCCTGTTTAGAGTTGACATAATCCTGTTCTAATTTTAGTTTACATACATTTCTTGTATAAAACTGGGACAAATCACTGGTTTTGAATAAATCTGCTGGGACAGGGTAGCCAGGCTGGTGCCATCTAGTGCCTCCGCTCAGTTTCATTTCTCTCCAGCAACTAGGTCAGGAATCAAAATACACTAGACGAAGTAAGAACCCTGAAAGTTGTAGACCGAGCACTGGCCAATCAGCGAAGAGTTGTGAGGCCATGACATCAAACTCAAGCGCCTGTCTGGGTCCCTTTTGTGGTACAGCACAACAGTAAACAAAGCGTCGAGATGGATGTAGACAATACAGACTTTGCATTTTTTGTTGCACCTTTAATTCAGACATGTTCACTCTCTGCTTTGTTTGCTGTTGTGCCGACAATTACTTGGACATCGCTGAGCGTTCCGGCGCATTACATACGTCACAACCAAAGAGCAGCAACTGGTTGAATAAAAAAAGTACCCGCCTAAAGTCGAGCGAACGAATCCTAATGCTGCGAGGTCAGACGGTTTCCATGAAGTGAAACCGGCTGATGAATCATTCTAGGGACAGGGGACACAGGGCTCTCAAAACTGTCCCGGGCAAATAGAGACGTCTGGTCACCCTACTCAAATTAGACTTTAATCTGAGCTTTAATTTAACACCATCTGACCAAAAAGAGATGGCTACAACAGGTGAGCTTTGTCTCAGGCTCGCTAGCATCAGCCAACAGCTTTTCAGTTTTTCCATTAGTCGCTCTCACCTTTTTGTTGAAAATCAAACACCTAAACATGACCATGAACACTTGGAGTGTTTTTTTTAGTTCTCAGATAATCTAGAAACCTATCAGGCTGTGTTTGCTGATGTGTACATTATGACACCATGGTAAATTCTGAACATTCCACGATAGACACACATGCAAATATATGAATTTACACCACGAGATAATCCTGTGTAGTCCACTGACAGAGAAGAGTTAGTTGACAGAGAAAGACAAACATAGATTACTCATTCATTAGAAGGTTAGTGCATTCACATTAGTATTGTGTTGATATTATGAGTCTGAGTTGGTGAAGGTGAATCCCAACCCTAACCCCATACCTCTGGAGTCCTGTCTGGGCATGTAGTACACAAACTGTCCAGCAGGGTTCTCAGCGGCTCGGCGGTACCACAGGGGAAACTGGTCCAACGTGAACAGATTCTCTTTGTCTGATGAGGTCAGGAAAGACCTGCAGAGAGGAGGCAAAAATAGAGACTGAAAACTACCCCACAAACACAGCAGTGCACACAAGAACACATGGTCAGGTGTGAATGAGTGAGCGCGGGGGATGAGCTGCCTGGCAAATCCAGAATGATATCTCTCTGTATTTTTTTTTTTTTTACAGGTCAGTTCGTTCACCTTTCCCTCTGCTGCGCCTCGAGCCACAAACAAACATGATCGTCCAATCAGATTTGTTTATTTTAGTGATGAGTGTGAAACGAAGGAGCTCGTTGGTCACCTATGATCACTGTTGGGCAAGTTACTTTAAAACTGTAATGTGTTATTTATGACTTGTTACTGTCATTTCAAAGTAATTCGTTACATTACAATATTGCTGTATTTAAAATGTAAAACATTACATTACCATTGCAGCACTTTTAAGTTACTCTCACCAAAATAACTGTGAAGATGCTGAACTTTTGCACCGTATATGGACTGAACCAGGACTAAACCAGGACAGAACTAAGGACTGAACCAGGACTAAACCAGGTCTAAACCAGGACTAAACCAGAGCTGAACCAGGACTAAACTAGGTCGAAACCAGGACTGAACCGAGGACTAATCTTGGCCTAGACCTTAGAACCCTGCAAGGCGCGATCGGGCATCAGCTCCGGTTAAGCCCCGTGGATTGTGGGCGAAAGGACTGATGCTCCATGGGGATAACTGCAGTTCTGCACCGGGTTTCACCGCTGCTGATATCACGGTGATTTTAACGAATTTATATGAAGAAAAACTCAGTCCAGGTTAAAAATGCTTTGTAATGCGCGTTACTGACATTTGTACCGAATAAAATATTACTTTTTTTTTCCCTGTAATGCAACATCACTGCATTACAGCGAAAAGCAATGTATTACAGTAATTTGTTAGTTTTATAACGCGTTACTCCCAACATTGCCTATGATTCACAAATAAAACTAATTTCTCTCACCTCAGATTAACACAGTTTAGTGCTTCGCCCACAGAAATTTGCAATGTTTATCACCTCCTTATAATATGTTTTTCCTGTATTTTTTCCAGCACCAACAGACTGGTGTGCATCTCTGATTGGTTAATTAAACTGTCAATCACACCCATTTGAAAACTGAGAGATTCAGCAGTGACCAGACTCACATCTTCATAAAGTACTGAAGAAGTGTGTGTTCTGGATCCCAGGCAATGTGATGAGTATTAGAGTCAGTCACAATGCCACTAATAAATGAGTCTATTATCACAATTTGGATGAACAAGTCATACAGTTGAACAGTCAAATAAAAGAGAAAACGCACACCTAAATTTTTGTAGAGGTGCAAATACAAGGATCAGCAACTAAAAAGTGAAAAAATGCATAGCACTCTCAGATGGAAGATGTCCAAAAGCTTTTATTTATTCTTAAATCATTTTTCAGCAAAAAGCACCTGGGCTGGCAACCCAAAGCAAGAAAAATGATCTGACGATGACTTTTTGCAGAAACATTATAAAAAAAAAAAAAAAGCTTTTGGACATCGGCCATCTGAGTGTGTTGTGCATTTTTTTCACTTTACAGTTGAACAGTAACTTCACCTGCCAATTTTTAGACAGATTTATTTTCTCATACATAGTCAGTGTGGGTGAAATCTGTTTTGGAGACTGCATAATATTTCTGGAATGATCCGCGTTTGTGCACTCACTTTGACACTCTGTTTTCCACCCCTGTGTATCTCTGGACTCTCATTAGGCCTGAACGTGTCCCCAGGAAAGCAGTTTCTACTCCGTCATCGACGCTGAAAGACAAAAGAATAACAGGAATATATAAACAGACAATAAACTCCAAGTGACAATTCAAAGGCATTTGTGTGTGTAATTACCCAGAGGCGTTGAGCATGAGTGCGGTCCAATAGGCTTCCATAGGAGCCGTAACGACAGCATCAAACAGAGTCTGCGACAACAACAGGGTATCACCTGGAAGAAAGGAAGGAAAACATTACAATTTATAAGTCAAAACTAAATATTCTATCTTTTGAATGGTCAAAGTCCTCAAATTGGAGCCAATAAACAGGAAACCAAACCCATGAATAACTATCTGTTGCCTTACATTCGAGATCAGGCTCTTTCCCGGTGAGGTATCGCACCACCGCCTGAAGCTGGGTGAGTTTACGATGTGCAGGGTCAATGTCTGTCTCACAATATGTCCTACAAACAAACACAACAAAGTTTTACTGCAAAAACTGTATATCTAGACAAGTTCAAATTACATAGTCTAGAGAGGTTCATTTGTTCGTCAGATATTTTATGTTATTTGGTTCTTTTTTCAGAGTTTGTTTTCATACCTGACAGTTTCGACTGCTCACTAGCGGGCTTCCTCAGAGTGGTCATGTGATGTTGCTGTGACGTGTCTGGTCACATTTCACCTTATTTACACAGGTGTTGGCACCGTTTTCCTACCGGTGGAGGCAGCACAACAGCGCCATCTGCAGTCCGACTTCCTCAGGACAGTATCCCAGGTGTGTGAGAGTAAAAAAGCCCCCTCGTGCCGGTTTATAGTCCTGTGGGCACGTTTCTGTATTTCGATTGCCTCTTTAATCCAACAACAGTGTTTGTTTACCTACTGTCGCTGGATTAAAGAGGCAATCGTTGCCTAAAGTTAGACAACGAAATCTTTCTTTTGGTCCCTCTCGTCTCTTCTTCGTAGCTGTGATCTTCCATTTGATTTTTGATGTTTGTCATTTGGACTGTTTTTGGTAAAAGTATAGTGTTCATTTATAGTCCTTTGGGCACGTTTCCGTATTTCGATTGCCTCTTTAAGCCAACGACGGTGTTTATTTTCCTATAAACCGGGACGAGGGGGCTTTTTTACTCTCACACACCTGGGATACTGTCCTGAGGAAGTCGGACTGCAGGTGGCGCTGTCGTCCTGCCTCCACCGGTAGGAAGACAGCGCCAAAACCTGTTTAAATCAGCTGAGAAACACGTCACAGCAACATCACATGACCACTTTGAGGAAGAGCACTAGTGAGCAGTCGAAACTGTCAGGTATAAAAACAAACTCTTGGTCTGAAAAAAGAACCCAATGACATAAGTTCACATTACATTAATTATTAATGTTAATTCCAGTGGTTATTATACGATTCCTTCTGCCATAAAACCTTTAAATGGAAAGTAAATTTGCTATTGTGTACCTGATGCACTGAGGTTTGAAAGTACGGCGTCTGTTTTTCTTTTTCTTTTATTATTTATAGATTGTGCACGACCAGAGATGTGCGAACTGAATTGCCCTTTGGGATTAATAAAGTTGTTGATTGATTGATAAAATTGATCTACTTGATGGACCTAGGTTAGTTTATATTTGTTTTATTTATAGCTACAAGGTATTTCTCATTTGTCTCAATACATGGCTTATTTTAAGACACATTTTCAGGGTAACACAATTACTCTTACACCACTGGCAAATATACTTCCTAATTCAAGCTTAAAGGTGCACTGTGTAACTTTTCTGGTGCAGGTCCGTCAGCTGCTTCTCTCCATGCAGATATTGCCTTGATGTTCCAGACTGTGGCACTGCACTTATTTATCTCTATGGAGACAGCAGGCGACACCACAGGGCCAGAAACCAGTTAAATATTCTGCATCTCATAAGCAATGAATCATACCCAGTCAAAACTACTCAACTCCAGACTCATATTATTAATTCAAGTCATTTTAACCACTGATATATGAACCTGTATCTGCTATTTATAAAAACACCAAATCAAAGATGAAGTGTTATGACTTACCACTCATTGGTGATGGTGAGATCAGGGCCGTTTAAGTCATGAAGGCCTGAAAACAAAATGGATAATATAAATACATACAATAATAACAATATTTATGACAGCAGCTTAAACTTAACCCTCACCTTGACCCTAACCTTAAACCAGGACTGAACAAGGACTAAACCAGGACTAAATCATGACTACACCAGGACTTGGACTAAAAGAAAAAAAAAAACATTTTCAAATTATCGACCAATCTCAGTATTGCCTCAGCTTTAATTTTTTTTTAGAAAAGCTACATACAAACAGACTAGATACATTTATAGACATATCCAGTATCCTAAATGAAAAAAACAATCACCAATATTAGCACTAATTGAACTTATAGAGGAGATAACTAATAACACTGATGTGAAAAAGTATTCAATTGGGTTATTGATAGATTTAAAGAAAGCGTTCGACATGATGGACCACAGCATACTCTTACAAAAGATACAAAAATACGGCATCAAAGGAATATCTCTAAAGTGGATAGATCTTATTTAACAACCGAAAGCAGTTTGTACAATGGGGACATCCCAGATCCACAGGTGAAACCGTCGTCTGTGGTGTCCCACAGGGGATCTCTGCTACGCCGAAAGTTATTTCTTTTATATATATATGACTTGTACTTAGTTTCTGAAAAACTTAAATTGGTTCTCTTTGCGGATGATACAGCAATTCTGTGTTCAGTCGCTGCCTTTGCTCTCAGTGAAATGCGTCTTGTCTCTTCAGAAGCAAGTCAACAAATGAGCAGCAGTTTGGTGAGAGCTTCAGGTACTAGAACGATCTGTGACACTCAGGCTCATAGTTTACATGGAATATCTTTTCATAGGTTAGGTTAGACTCAAATAAAACATTGGGAGGAAGGATACTTGAAGCTTTATTAAAACCATTATTTTGTGGAAAACCCTAATACTGCATTTATCACTGGTCCCTATGAGAAAAAACATTGGGGTCTGACCAAATCCACTCAGCAGTGACACCTGCATCTTAAATTTAAATAATTTGGGATGGTTATGCGTGACTTTAAACAGAAATAATAACCCTAACCTCCTAACCCCTAACCTAACCCTGACTTTATCCCTCGCTTTGCAATACTAATAGGCCCTTTGCCAGCTTCTGGTGCTTGAAAATTGTAAGAATATAGAGTAGAATTAAATAAAATGTACAAGTTTACCTTCTTCAATGGAGACATTTCCCAAGAACATGTATTTTCCATATCCTTCAGTCAACACTACACCCAAACTGTAACCAAGAAAAATCATATTACGGTGTTTAATTATCTTATTTATGTATTTAATTGTCTTATTTACAATGATTTTTGGCAATAACGTTTCAAACTTACCTAAATGGAGTTTCATTGATGACTGTGTAGTAATAGTTATTCCTGAGAAACATCACTCTTAGCTGCAAAAACAAAAAAGTGAAATAAATATCAATTACTAATAAAATAACATTATTAACATTTTGGAGATATGTGTTTTTCATGCTTTCCCTTTCTCAGTCCTGTCTCTTTCAGCATTCTTATTATTACAGTGTCTGATGTTGCTTTGTTTTTATGTGATATCTAACATGTCTTTTCACAGACATATGTCACAAAGACGCTTTACAGAACATGATTCGTTCACTCCATACCCGTAAGAAAGATAATCAGACTTTGTAACATTACTGCCTAATACAGTAAATGTTTCTATACACAAATAAAACACTCTGAAAAGTTAATAAAAATCTCACCCCTTTATCCACAGAAGCTCTCACATCTAAAGATAAAGTCCCAGTTTCTCCTTTCACCATTGACGTCCTCAGCTGAAAAATAAACAAACATCATTTAGATATTTAGACAAAACTTATTTTACTGATATTTAATGATGTTCTTAAAGCAGCATTGTGCAACTTTTCTGGTGGAGAGTCTGTTAAGTGCTTTTCTCCATGGAGATGTTATTGCTTTGTCTGGAATGTTTCACAGTATGATATTAAACCTTCCTATCTTCATAAAGACCGAACCAGACCAAGACCCCACTCACAGCCAGTTTTTCTGGATATTTTCAAGCTATAAACCCACCTGTAATTTAAGAAATGTAAAGTAGAGCTGTTTAATGTCTGTCTGTGCTGTGGAGCATTCAAGCCAGAGCAATGACATATCCAATCATAATTATTAGGGTTGTAACAATAACTATTAAATAACTAATACATAATAACTAATAAATATCGTGATATCGTATCGTCAAAAGTCTCACAATAATATCATGGGCTGTCACAATATATTGAATTACACGTTCCTTTTCTTAAATACATAGTTTTACAGTGACAACAGCTTGTGAACATCGGAAAATACATGTCCCATGATTAATTTCAGTGCAGACAACATGAAGAAATGTTTTTTTATTTGAATTCTTGGGATTATGACGGAAATAATTCACACCAAAATCTTGTCAAGGTATTTTAAAAGCAAAAAAAGTGTCCTACCTACAGTTATATCAGCCTCTCCAAAATATTCCAATAAATATCATGCATAAAATAAACAACTGATACTTTGCAGCTGATCTCATCAACATTTTCCGAGGGTGTGATGCTAACTGTAGGAACTACTCTGTCTGAAGCTCTACTGGACTTTAACCTGAGCTTTATTTTAAAACAATCTGACCATAAAGAGCTGACAAAGCTGGAACTACAACAGGTGAGGAGATTTGTGCTCTTAAACAAGTCTCTCTCTCACCTTTTTGTTGAAAATCAAACTCCTAAACAGAACCATGAACGCTCGTATTGATCACAGGCTCCTAAAAAATGTGCTGTAGAAATCCATTTTGTATTTCTTCTTGAGTTTTCAGTTTTTCTTAAAAGTATTTGACAGTGCTTTGTGTCACCATTGTAACTGCAATAATACAACCCTTCAGCCCCTCACAGTTCGCAGATTACATTTACTCATATCAAAATGGGTGAAGTGTCTTGCCCAAGGACCCACTGCACTGGCCAGAGCTGGAATCGAACTGCCAACCCCCTGAGATTCTGGGTCAAATGTAAATATCGTGCCACTCACCAGTTGGTCAGTGTCCTCCCACTCCACCTCCGACAGATCCACACTGTTATAATTGGGCTTTGGTTTCAGTTTCTTTCCCTCTTTATACTAGAAAATACAAAATACAATACAATAATCATCATTATAATGTGGAGTACAAAAGAAGAGCAAAGCGCGTCACTGTAAATATCACTGATGATTATTAAAACTCTGTCTCTACCAGAGGTCGGAGGTCAGGGTGAGACAGGATGTAGCCATTATTAGTGATGAGATAAGCATAGCCATGAACTCCAAGCTGAAAATGAGACATAAATATAACTCAAATATGTGTTGTAATTCAATAATACTGTTTCATATTGTTCACATTTAAAAAATATTAAAAATATCCTCTGATAACATATTTGGCATGAGGTACAAAGCATATTTAAGCAGTAATATTTAATACAGTATTTATGGTACAATTTGAATTTACCTTGTATCTCAAAGCGAGCCTCATGAGCTCTTTGAGGGCCACATCGGTTCCGACCACACCGAGCAAAATCCCATGAGACAACTGCAAAGAAAAAACAAAAATGTATAAATAACATTGATACAGAACTCAGAGAACAATACAATACACATTTTGTTACATAAAACAAGGGTTACACAGGATTAGTGGGTCAAAAACAATCGCTATTTCTATCAAAGACAAAGGCTATGTCCAAACTATGACCCGTGGGCCAAATGCGGCCCTCAAACAATTTTTCTTGGCCCTCAGGCTTCCAGGTGAATTGGCCCAAATGACCTTCCATCAATTAGAAATTCACGTTTTATTGCAAGTTTTTTGAAAATCGACCTTGATAAAGCTGCTATTTAATATTTTCTGTGCAGTTTTAAGGATCTTAGAATGAAACATCAGTCTTTATTCATGCTAACTTGTTAAACATGTGCATATTTCAATTATTCACTGTACTGAGCACCAATCTAAGGCCCTCAATCAGCCCTCCGCTTTGCCTGTGTTTAGAGATGTGGTCTTTGATGAAAAAAGTTTGGACAACTTTGGGCTACGTGATGGAAAATGAAATAACTGCAATGTTTCTGACAGTAAGTAATACAATTGCTATTAAATGTGAGATTTAGTAGGATTCTGGCTCATTAACATTTGGGAGTACACTGAAATACAAACTGATAAAATTGCGAGAATTGCATGCGTTTTAGAATAAATTTGTAAAGGTACAGTCTACAGAGTCAGCCATTTTGTTAACATAACATAAAGGTATATTTTAGTATTTATTTTAATTTCTTATTTTATCTTTGTTTAGGTTTGTTTGTATAAATAAACAGTTTCTTTCACTTAAATAGTCGGGGTGAAACGATATCCAAGTCTCACGATACGATATGAACCTCATGGTACAATATTTATTGCGATATCATGGGAAAGCTCACGATATGGTGGGGAGGTTGACGATTAGGGATGTAACTAGGGGTGTGCAAAAATATAAAAATATCGATATATCGTATCGTTTAATGTGATGATACAGTATCGATATTGTAGGCTGCTGTATCGATATATCGCCAAGAGAATTTTTTGGTATATTTTACTACATTATTTTGTTACAGAGCTACAGTTTTGTTGCTTGTTTAGAGGAAGAAAACTTATTTCTGCAGCACATTTGACATTTTCACTGTTTTGATGATTCAAATGTTTGTGTTTCATATTAACTTTGCACAAGAAGTGGTTTAACAAAGACACACACAGTAGCACAGCCATGATTTAAGCTTTTTTTTTTAAAATTTTTATTATTATTAAACTGTATCGAATCGATTTGAAATATATCGTATCAAACCGAAAGTGCACTGTATCGAGATATGTATCGTATTGTGGCCTGTGTATCGAGGTATGTATCGTATCGGCAACTTCTTAATGATACCCAGCCTTAGATGTAACAATATCCAAATGTCTTGTAACGATATTTTCACGGTATGCATCTCACGGTATATTTATTGCGATATTTTGTGGAGGCTAAACAGCTAAAACTGTGAATATGCTACTTTGTCCTCATAAAATGCCTTAACTAAGACTTAAATGTGCTTAGAACTGTTATTTCTTCTTGTAGTCCACACTGAAATGGAGCAAAGGATCATGGTCTATGTAGTTCCCTGTGTCTTCTTTTAGCTATTGCTGCACCATAACTCTTAATTTAAGCAAAGAGACTTGTAATTTGATATATTGTGATGGTCCACGATGTTATTGTGAGAACTTTGACGATACAATATCACGATATTTTGTTAATTCTTACATCCCTATTAAATACAAATAAACTGGCTCAAAGCAACAGAGAGAGGACTCATAATCAACTGATCTTCATTCAAGACCAATAAATCTTGATTCAAATGTTCACGTAGTTCCATTCTCAAAAGGGAGTTGTCCATCAAACAGAAAGGAGACATACTGCAACAGGCAACAGTAGATGACAAAACTACAGCGGGCACCACAGTAGCACATTATGAACATTTGAACATATGATAAAAACATGGACTCTGCTAACGGTGACCACTCAAATGGCAGTTTTGATTTGATTCCAGTACATTGTGCATCCCTGTACGATACATGTCACAGTCATACTCACAGTTTCTTTCTTCTTGCTAAAAACAGGCATCGCAACTGAAGTCATCAGCAGCAGGCTCTGTGCTTGAGTGTTGAACAACTGAAATCCAAAAACAAAAACACAAATAAAACAGGGATTTGCTGTAAAAACATTACTGTATATGGAAGGACAGCTTATAAATACTACAGTCTATGGTATTTTACTACACATACAACTGACAAAGGTTAAGGTTTCTATCTAACTACTACTACTTGCTCAGTAAAACGTACCACTAATAGTCCTAGTAATGATAATGTTCTAAGGTAAATCTACAGTTCTGCAGTTACTTTTACCTCAGACTTGTTTGGAAACTGAATGTGGAAACAGACAGAAACAACAAAAGCATGAAACTGATGAAACAATGTGCAAAAGCAGAAAATGTGGCACAGTTTCTCAAATATCACTCACTGGTTTGGAAAATACTACAGCTCCTATGTCAGATTTTAACAACTAGAACTCAATGTTTGAACTCAGATTTATACAAAGTAGTTCTGCAGTGGTTTGAAGAACAAATTTAAAAACACATAACATAAAAGAGACAAGTGTGGGAGACCAAGGCCAAGTAACAAGTAAGATCTGTGGAGAGGCAACCCTACTCACAGTTGAAGGTATTTTTTACTGATCTATGAGATAAACTATTTAATTGTATATACTAAATCACTTGGTTGAATAAAAAGTACTAACAAAACATTATGTGAATGTTAATTAAAGATGGAATATTATGAGAAATTGAACATTAAAAGGTGTTTTTATATGTCATCCATGCATGTTTGAGTAATATAGTGATTTCTCTTCAGCCCCATTCAAACCCTCCTTATGGTTAGCTCTAAGATTATTTAAAATTATTATTTTTTTAAACGGGGTGCACAGTGCGTCGATTGCGATCTACCAGTCAATCTCCAAGGTAGTGGGTAGACTGTAGTGTCGTAGTACTCGTCTGGGACTCGACTGCGTTTGGACTCGGCCTCGTCTCTCATTCGAGGTCTGACACTCGACAAGTGCAATCAGATTTCATTACGGCCGCTGCTGTCGGCAATAAACTTGTACTGGCACGCAGGACATCTCTGCAGTCTGTGCGCTCATTTACAACCCGCCGATAATGTGCAGCACATCACAAACACACACGCTACCTGTCTATCTGCCTCACATCAGCGCGCCGCTCCTCACCTTTTCATGTTTTCGCTCCGTCCTCAACGAGCGCTGATTAGAAGAGCAAGACAAAACGCGAAGCAAAAACTAATCTAAATTTATGTTACAGTGTTGGCACAGAGGATGCCTACAGCACAGAACTGGCCTATTGTGACATTTGGCTGAAGTTTGCCTAATAAGTGTGCACAACTGCATCTGTATTTGTCACGATGTGCGGTGTGTGGTTTGGTAAATGTGCAGAGGCTAAATCCCACTGCAAAACCAGTAAGAGAATGTAACTCCAGTTTGAAACTTGAAAAAACAGGTTTAAAAATCCTACCCACTTTCTTCACTTTTTTCAGTTTTGTGTAAAGTACCAGTGGAAGTTCTCTTAAAGACGAGGTTCACAAACTGTGGGTGAGGGTCCAAAAAAAAAAAAAGCTTGCATGCTGAAAAAGTGTGGGTAGCCCTGCTCTAAAATAATCAGTCAAAACAAATAGTTATGCACTGACCACACTGTCCATGTAGGCCTCGGTCCAGATGATGTCATGGTCGTGGTTGATCACCATTGGTCGACTCAGAACGTGCAGATACTCCATCACATTCTCCTGGACATCAGCCAGTGTAGAGACATGAGTGTAATAACCTGAAAAACAAAACATGCACGCAAAATAAGTGACAACGATGTACATTTGTAAGGCTATTTTAAAACGTAGCAGCAGCAGAGTAAACCAGGCACTGAAAAAAACATAGCTAGTAATTCAGATAATTCTCCAAATGTAGAAATCCCAAATTATCTCAAAAGTATTTTCTTTGCTTCTTATATCAGATTAATCATAACAAAATAAAGACATACCTTTGTTGTTGCAGGCGATCCATTTAACATTTTCAGCAAAGGTCATTTCTCTTCCAATGAGATACGTGAATACACGAACCTAAAACACAGAAAAGAGGAACTGACACAACTGGCTGCTTTCTAGATGATTAAAAGCTCATGGGTAAAGTTTGTCCATCTGCAAATAACTATGTATATTTTCAGAGATTTCAGAAACCTATTTTGCTTGAGTTTGCTCTAGTTATAACCTACGACACATGTTACAATTTGCACATTTTAAATCGCAATATTCATCTAAAACGACTTAATAAAAGGACCAAGCCCGGTGACTTTAACGTTAGAAAACTGTGGTGCCCAACGGGAGCCAACGTCGCCATAAACATCATCACAACAAAGACCAGTGTAGTTGTCTGCGCCTCTGATGGATACCTGCAGATGACACTAATGAGAAGTGGATTAAAAAAAAAAAAAAGACTATGCGACGCTGCCGAATCGTAGGAGTATCAACGATTATTAGAGAATATTATTAGAAAATGACGTAGAGAACAGTGGGTGTATGCCGGTGGTGGAGATTAAGTAATTAAAGATTGCTCAAACATGCATGAAGCACTCCAAATACTTTGAGACTTTGAGAAGATAAATGGGAAGGAGGAACAACTATAGTATAGTTAAAAGCTCTGAAAAGTAAAAAGTAAAAAAAAAAATAGATACCTCAACAAACAAAAAAGTACAAATTAATCTTTAAAAGTGAAGGTTACAGTGTATTTGTGTCAAATTATTTCATGCACCATGTTAACTATAAAGTGTGGAATAATTAACATGTGTACACTGACATACTATTTTTAGTAAACTGTGTTATACTGTGGTTTGAATTATATTTTTTGGACTATAAAGAGCACTTAAAATCCTTTAATTTTCTCAAAAAACAACAGTGTTCCTTATAATCCATTGTGCCTTATGTATTCATTCTGGTTGTGCTTACTGAATGTGGGACTGTTTTTAATCACTGTAAAGTGCTTTGTGTTGCATTTTTTGTATGAAAAGTGCTCTATAAATAACTGTGTGAAGAATCCCTCAGGCGTCCAGGTAGAATCCATGGCGAAGGGAAAATTCAATTTGTCGACTGGACAAAAGTTAGTTTGGTTGAAGACGTTTCGCAGTTCATCCAAGCTGCTTCTTCAGTTCTGGTCAGACGCTGGTGGACACTTCCTTATATCTGCAGGGAGGAGCTAACTACACTGAAACTAACACACCTACTTGTTTACAGTTTCTGTTAGTTAGTTCGGCCTATTGACCTGTACAGGGTGTGGTGTCTAATTAGCATAACAATTCATGGCCATAATGGAGCTTCCGCACCTCTGGACCTGACCTGGATACACCTCGTGTTCTCTTGTTTGTTTTGATTTAGGTTTGATTAGGGTTAGGTTCGTTGATTTATGTTTTTGTACAACTTTGGTAAGCGAAGCCGCATCGCTATACGGTCTATGCGTATGACCTGCAGACTTATAATCTCTTAAAAGTTTAATAATATAAGCACAGAGTGGACTCATCAGAAGCAGCACACCCTCTGTCACAGAAAGAACACACATATTCCACTAAGTTGTGTCATTTAGTCCGACAGAAGTTGACCGCATCACCGCAAAAGGAGCAAGCTGTTTTTTTTCAGTGCTTATAGTTTATGCAAATTAGCCATATGGTTTTAAGTTTAAATTCTGTAAAACGTAAAAAAAAAGTGTGCAAAGCTGTAATAAACACATTATTACTCAATATATATTTGAGTCGTCCTCATAGGAAAAAAACAAAAAAAACTAATTTAAATTATCCACCCACATTCACATTCATAATACACATTCACCAAGACAGGGAGGCAACGCCGGGCGAATTACACCATGATCTGCCAACTAACCCTAACCCTAACCCTGGGCTAAGGGATCAGTCTCAAATGTCGTCTGTTTGTTTCAATTAATGCGCCTTATAATCCGATGCGCCTTATGTATGAAAATAGACGTGAGAATTCAGCATTATTGATATTGCGTTTTATAATCTAGTGCGCCTTATAGTCCAAAAAATACGGTAAAAGCCCTTGTATAAGTGTACAGTTAGGTACATTTAAAATATATATATCTATTGTAATATCTTCTGCAGAAATATTGTACTTCGCACTTTAAAACTGACTATGATGACAAGCTTAGACACTGACTCGTTTTTCAGGCCAGTTAAACTCCTCAAACACGTCTTCAAAATCCTCCATGGCTCCGTCAGTGATCAGCATGATGGCCTGGTTACACAGACTGCCCTGCCCCAAAGCTGTGGCCTGTGACACAAACGACAACAATAATGTTATAAGTCCACTCTATTATCTATTGTTTTATATCATTGACATTTAAACGGGGAAATCAAACCTCGTTAAGGATCTTGAACGACTCCTTCATGGCTTTGGTGACTTTGCCCTCGCCTTTGACGTGAAGCTCATCGACCAAAATTTTGAAATGCTGAAAGAAAATATAATAAGAATGGTTAACACTTTATAATAACTACACTTTGAGTATCCTTATAAAAACACAAACAAATGTATACAATTAATTTTAACTAATACTCTAACCCCTAAATTAAAAGGCCGATATTGCACAATTTTCTGATCCACGTTTTAATGTTGTTTCCTCATCACAAACAGACCTGGAGTTGTGTTTTGTTTCACTCACACATGTTTAACACACAAACCCTGCATATTTAGGCTGAGTTCTTCTCTCAAAAGGAAAACTCTACAATACAGGAATACAGGAAGTGCTCCACTGTGTTTCTAAACTCCACACGCTTTCACTAGAATCAAGAAAGGTTATTTCAGCTGTGGAATTGCAGATCTCTACTGAACTAAAAGTAAAAAGCAGCAGTTTACTTGAAAACTACCGCTTCATGACATCACAAGGTGGAACAGGCCGTTTTGAGCTTTGAAGATGTAGACAGACTGTATGTGAATGAAAAAAAACACAACCAGGTATGTTTTTGAGGCATGGCTTAAGTCTGTCAGAGGAAGTTGTCCTTTTACCATGTAGACAGAACCATGATGACACTGTTTTATAAAACGTTTATTGAATCAGTTTTAACTTTTTCATTGGTCTCATGGTTTGGGAGCATCTCTGATAAAAACAAGAACTCCCTGAATCCGTTGGTTAAATGGGCGAGTGAGGTGATTGTCCATCCTCAGAGCCGCCTGGACTCTCTGTACTCAAGACAGTTACAGAGGACGTCCCAGAAGATTTTAATAGACGTGCAACATCCACTAAATTCAAAGTTTCAGAAGCTTTTAGTCCCAAGATCTAGAACACGTGTCAAGGCCAAGGCCGCAGGCCACATCTGGCCCTCCAAGCCATTTTCTGTGGCCCACAAGGGGTTAAAAGGTATAATTTATTATGTTGTGACTGTTTCCCGTGAAGTGACTGTATCTCGCCACTAGAGAGGCCAAGAAAACATCATCAAATCTCCCCAAGAATATCCAAGAAAAGAAAAATTGATGCAGAAGGGACGGCTATTTCATGAATGTTACTAAAGGAGTAATGTGAATGTTTTAACTTAAAATTTAAATCAAATCAAATCCACTTTATTTCTATAGCACATTTCATAAACAAAACTGTTTCCCAAGTGCTGCACAAAACAGATAAAACATATCCAATAGAAATATAAAGTAAAACTCTTATTAACTCTACTAATCCTCATTAAGACAATAAAACTAGTCAAATCAAATAAGAGAAAGAATACCAGTAAATATTAAAAAGGTTAAAAAAAAAAAAAAAAAAAAAACAACAACAACAAAAAGCATACAAATAAACAAAATAAATAAATATGAAATGAAAATTCAAATACAGACTTTTACAGTTTTGTAACATACTGATATTACAGTCACAGTTTCAGTCTTAACTTTACAACCGGCCCTTTGATGACAAACATGATCCAAATGTGGCTCTTGGTGAAAATGCGTTTGACACCCCTGATCTAGAACAAATAGTTTTAAAAGGAGTTTTGTTACAGCTGCTATCATACTAAATTGTAATCTATTTATCTATCTATCAATTTTAGTACTTGGAAAAATTCTCTTCTCTTGGAAAAAATTTTGTGTTTTTATATATATATATATATTTAATATTTATTGTGTTTTTAGCCAAGCTTGATGGATGAATTGAACTAATTGTTTATGGAACAAAACGTCCTGCGCTGGAGCACTGTAACACTTTATCTTGTAATTGTTTTTTATTGCACATAACGTGGATGAATGAAATGTGAAATGTGGGACCAGCCTCTCAAATCTGCAAAACAAATTTACCTTCGGGTACGAATAAAGCGACCTAACCTAACCTAACCTAACCTTAAAGCTCATAAGGGTCAATTTTGTGTAATATAAGAACTTACTAAACCTAAGTCATTTTTTATACACTATTTGTTCACATAAATTGTTCATTTAAGTAACAAATAAAAAACAATATTGTTAATAGAAAACAAACAGCATAATTTGAATGAAAAGGGCAAAATAACACTAGACGCTGAGCATTTATGGTGTATGTAATTGTGTCAGGCAACATCTGTGCAGCCAGATGTAAAGCCCATGTTACAGTCGACCAATCAGATCCCTCGCTCGTGTCATGTGACCCACTTCAAATTGTGAGTGGCCATTGACCTCACCTCATGTGTAATGATGTAATAATGCAGGGCTCAAAGTACAAATGAAAAACGAACACAGAGAAGAGAAGAGAGGAGAGGAGAGGGGCTATAATGTAAAAACTGTAAAAGAATCTCACACCAGAAATTTTTATTTTATCAGTAATAATAAAAAAAAAACACATTACCTATCAATAGAGGGTCTGATACCTGCTTGATTCCACCGAGATGGCATTGCTTTGTCTGAAATGTTTCACAGTGTGGATTAAATTTATCCATCTTCCATTCATTTATTCATTCAATTATGGTTGTTTTTCTTGCTCAAAGAACATGCACAGCTATAGTCAGCGAGGCTCTCCTCTGCACAGATCTGACCTGTATCTTGGTCTGGCGGCATCTCCTGTTTGTTTCCATGGAGATAGCTAAGTTTAATACCACACTGCGACACATTTGAAGCAAAGCAAATAAAGGCAGACCCTTCACCAGAAAACCATAGCGCACGTTCAAAGGCGCTCCACCGTATTTTTACTGTTTTAAAAATGTTAATTTTAAACAGTTTGTGGTCCAAAGTTATTCCTCATTTACTTTATGCGTTCAAAACATCCGAATTATTCACCATGATGAGTTTATAAGTGCTTTTCACAACTTTCAGAGACACATTACCCATCAAGAAATGCATTTTTCGATACAGTATTACAGCAAATATCAGATGTAAATGTAATATTGATACTATATGTTACTGGCATTATTAATTATATAGTAAAAACCCCACCAGTGTGAATGAGCAGAAAATACATTGCTTTCAAAATTCCTTTCCAAATTAGAAGCAACTTTGAATGCAAAAAAAAACACTATAAAACTGAGGCTGCACATAACCCAAAATATCAAATTAAATGTCTGAAATGTAATCTAAAAACTGAATAGAGGACAGGGATCAAATTAAACATTAGTAAAATAAGTTTTGTCCAAATGTTACTGTATGTTTATGTTCATTTTTCAGTTGAGGAGAAACTAGGACTTTAACTTTAGATGTGAGAGCTTCTGTGGATAAAGGGGTGAGATTTTTACAAACTTTTCACAGTATTTTATCTGTATAGAAACATCTACTGTATGAGACAGTAGTGTTACAATGTCTGTTTATTAAGGATGGGCATGATTAGTCGACTAATCGATCAGTGAGTGTGTTTACAGCACATCAGTGTCCAAGGTATGATCGTTTTTTTTGAGTATCCTGGTTTCGTCCTGGTGCATGTAAACGCAGTATCCCGGTTACTGCAACATGAAGTTGAGTCACATGTGTCCAAAAAACACTTTTCAGTCTTTTTACCACAAAAGGAGCCAAAATAAATAAAGTGACCAACATAAATAAAGTTAAATGAGTGTTAAATAAAGAGCTGCGCTAAGAGCAAAGAGCAGCACTAATAGTTTATGCAAATGAGCCATATGGTTTTAAGTTTCATTTCTGTAAAGCGTAAACAAATATGTCAAAGCTGCATTAAACACATTATAATCTCAAACGGGCTGATGTGGCTCTAGAGTGTTTATGGTTTATATGTTGTAAAATTTAGTTCATTTATGCAGATTAGTAATAGTAATAATAATGATGATAGTTTTAATATATAAAAACGTTAATGATTAATCTAAAATTGATCATTAATTCTCCTGACGATCGATTAAGAAAATTTAATCGAATGCCCATCCGTACTGCTCATCTTTTTTATTTAATTAAATTCATTAAAACTTTATTTATCTCCAAAGGGACCATTTAAAACACACACAGAGCAGCTGTACACACGTTAGATATCACATAAAAATAAAGCAACATTAGACACTGCCGTAACAAGAACGCTGCTGATCACAGAAAAGAGAAAAGGACTGTGAAAGGGCAGGCATGAAAACCACATAAATCTGATGTATCAGCCTGAATTACCCCTGTGAAAGGTCAAAGGGTTTGTAATATGAACACACACAGACATGATAATCTGGTCCAATCGGATTAACACAAAATAGGAGATTATGATTAATATGGTTCAGAGGGTTAATTAGCTGTGTGTGTGTGTCTGTGTGTGTGGACGGGTATTTTTCACACTATGTGGATGTGGGAAAAACAGGTCCCTATGATGTAAATCTTTTATCATTAGATTAATAACATGATGTAATGTTAAGATGTGGGTTGATAGATTTTAAGGTAATCCGTGTATCATTTGTTCATTTGTTTTCATTATAAAACCAAAAGTAAGAAAACAAAAAAACAAACATTTTCTTCATTATTTGTCTCCAAAACCAAAATGAAAAAACGGGTAACGATTCGTTTTTTCAGTTTTCGATTTTGTGTTTAAATGAAGAAGTCACGTTGACGGACTTTTGCACCGCATACAAACTGTACCAGGACTGATCCAGGTCCGGGACTAGACCCTGACCAGAGCGGGACTGAGACCAGGACCAGACCAGGACAAGACCGGGACCAGACCGAGACGGAGACCAGACCGGGACCAGCTCGGGACCAAACCAGGACCAGAGAGGGACTGAGACCGAAACCAGACTAGGACCAGACCGGGACCAGAGCGGGACTGAGACCGAGACCAGACCAGGACCAGACCGGGACCAGAGCGGGACCAGACCAGGACCAGAGCGGGACTGAGACCGAGACCAGACCAGGACCAGGCCGGGACCAGAGTGGGACCAGACCGGGACCAGACCGAGACTGAGACCGGGACCAGACCCGGACCAGACCGGAGGCTCAGAGCCCACGGCAGGGCCGGAGCTTGAAGATGATGCTCGGACCCTGCGAAGGCGGAGTCAAAGCTCGAAGTCTGGTCTCGGTCTCAGTCCCGCTCTGGTCCCACTCTGGTCCTGGACCTGGATCAGTCCTGGTTCAGTCCATATGCGATGCAAAAGTCCAGCATCGCAGTCACGGAAGTCACATAAACAGGAAAAGGCCGTTTTTTTTCCATTCTTCATTTAAACACAAAATTGAAAACTGAAAAAAGGATTCATTATCTGTTTTTTTTTTTCATTTTGGTTTTGGAGATAAATAATGAAGAAATCTGGGATTTTTTTCATTTTCTTATTTTTGGTTTCATATTGAAAAACGAATGAACGAATGATACACGGATTTAAGGTGAGGGTTTAGGTTAAGGTTAGGCAAGTAGTATCTATGGTTAAAGGTCCTATATTAAACAAAATGGACTTTTGTGAGCTTGAAGTCATGTTAGAATGTCGTTACCTCCTCAAAAAACATACCCAGAGTTGTGTTTTGTTTCATTCACACGTTTGAGTAATCCTTTATTATATTAGTATACATCTCTAAAGCTCAAAATGGTCTGTTCCACCTTGTGATGTCATGACGCAGTAAGTTTTTCAAGATATCTTTTATCTTTAATTCAGTAGAGATTGTCAGTTCCAGGGCAGAAATTATCCAAATGATTCCAGTGAAGGTGTAAGGAGTTTGAAAACACAGTGGAGCACTTCCTGTATTACCGCATTTTTATTCTTATTTATTTATATGTAAAGGGACAACACATATTAATGAACATTTAAACCATGTAAATATGTAAAGACTATAGTCAACGTGGATAATTTCCATCTTCAGTCCCTCGGCAGGTTGATGTTAATTAATCTACAGGAAAGTACAACAACAGTCACACAAAAAGTACATAACACCAACACACTCATTATACATAGAATTAATTTCAAACTGTTAATTTGAAATTCACAGACATGACATCACAAAGTGGAACAGAGTGTTTTCTGTTTGAGAGAAGAACTCGTCCTAAACATGTGAATGAAACAAAACACAGCTCCAGGTCTGTTTGTGATGAGAAAACAAGATCAGAACATAGATCAAAAAATAGTGTAAGGTTAGGATCAGTCTCCAGGAAATGAATGGAAGTGTGTGTCTGTGTGTCTGTGTGTGTGTGTGTGTGTGTGTTGTGTGTGTGTTGTGTGTTTGTACCTCTCTGTTATCCAGATCCGCCTGCACCAGGGTCCCTTTGAAACACGGCTCCACATATCGCACATAATCACTGTACTGTAAAACAAAAAGTACAATAAAAAAATAAGTAAATTAAACTAAAAATGAGTACAACTCAAAGTAAACACACAATATTTTAAATGTGCATTGTGTAACTTTTCTGGTGGAGGGTCCGTCAAATGCTTTTCTCCATGCACATGTTATTGCTTTGTGTATGGCCATTACACATTTCTATCTACCGTATTTTCCGCACTATAGGGCGCTCTGGATTATAAGGCGCACTGTCATTAAATGGTCTATTTTCAAAAATTTTTTCACAAATAAACTGCACCGGACTTTAAACGAAACACAACAGTTGGATGGGTGAGTGGTTTTGTTTGTTTGTGTGCGTTCACGGTGACTCTGGGCTTTGTTCAGTTGTGGCGTGTAGGGAGGGTGCTGTCTGGGATCGCTGGATTGTCGGCGTGTTCGCAGTGACTCAGTTGTTCAGTCGTGTCTAGAAGCGGCACATTGCACTCGCTTTTTCAGTTCGTTCCTCCGTTCTGTTCCTCGTCGGCGTGGAGCGATGAGTGTGGCTGTGGGTGTTTTTCGCCGTGCGGTCGCTGTCTGCTCCGTGTGTGTTTGCGGCTTTGTAGTTTACTGAAGTCGTGCTGGGACACCCGAGTGGATTCGTGTTTCGGGCGCTCTGGATTGTGGGGCGCGCAGTCGTTTTTTGATGGGGTCGGAGGCTTAAGAGCGCGTCTAATAGCCCGGAAAATACGGTAAATGGAAACCAGACCAAGTTACAGGTCAGATCTGTGGAGAGGCAACCCCGCTCACAGTCAAAATATTAGTTTTTCTAGGTATTTTTGAGCTATAAAACCACCTGTAATTGAATAAATGTTTTGAAAAAAGCAGGTGAATGACCCTCAAACAAAAATTTACATAATCCACCTTTAAAATATTTTAGTCAAATCACTCCAAGTATGTATAAAAGTTTTCTGCTAGGAGATGTTATTTCTGGTTCGTTGGTAGTTCTACCGTGAGGAATTAAACTTTTCTACTATACGTGTATTCACTGGTCAAAAGTACAGTGAAAAACATGTATTTTTACTAAGTGGCTTTACAACTGTCCTCAACCAGGGTTTAAAAACTGAATTACTCAAAATGTAAATGACAAAAATTACAAAAATTGTGCCAAAATGAATTCAGCATAACAGCCTTCTTGTTTTATAGAGCTGTAATATTTTATTTTATGTATGAACTAGTCGGGTGAAGGTCAAATGTTGTACAATAAATTATTATAAACTATTAATAATAATTACTATACAATAAACTATTAACAAAACAAAAACGTAGGTGGCGAATAAAAATAAGTGACACTGAAGCGTTGAAAAAAAAGTGCAGCCAAACTAAAAGGCAGGCGCAAAAGTGTCCACAGAGCTTACGGTGTATTAAATGGATTTCAAACTATTTTCGCTTTTCTGTGGGTGTAGCTTTAAATGCTGCAGAGAGCTTAAAGCAGCAGATTTGTGAATGCCGTAATACCAGGATCAGCTCTGATTATTACACAGATTTTGGAGCTGTGGAGTAACAGTGCCAAAAAAATCCTAAAAAACCACCACAAAAAAAAAAAGACTTTCGAAGCTCAACCTGGGCAATCTGACAAAGAAAAAATGATCGCATATACATTTTTTCTCTCTCCCCATCTTGATCAGCCCCAGAGAAGAGATTTGATGTGCTGGTAAAGTTAACAACAACTAGTATGCTAACCACACACTTCCTTATCATCAGTGTTAGAGCCATAACTTAAAGGAACAGTTCGAAATTTTAGACATAGAACCTCATTTCCTAGTGAGCCAGAGTGTTGGAGACGTGCGAAGACACTTTTTTAAATATTCCATCCAGTCCTTGTATTTGCAGAGGTCACTGGTGTTAGACTAGTGCATGTCAATGGTCATAGTTATCCTGACACTAAAAACAGTCTTACCCACTCCACAAAACACCCGAAACAAATCTATTATTACACCAGATTGTCCATGTGAATGTCTGTGTCGATAGAATAATGTTTGAAATAAAACTAACCTTGCATCGCCTGAATCGTCACATGTTGAGGGACTATTTTCTCATATATCAGTCCGCCGCTGCCGAGCTTTCTATCTGGAAGCACAACTCACTGCTGCTCAGACATAAATCCTTCAAATGCAAGGTTGGTTTTACTTCTAATATTATTCTATCAACACAGACATTTACATCGACAGTCTGGTTTAATAATAGATTTTCTTCGGGTGTTTTGTGGAGTGGGTAAGACTGTTTTTAGTGACAGGATAACTATGACCATTGACATGCACTAGTCTAGCACCAGTGACCAGTGAATTCTTTGTATGTAAGGTTAGATCAGTCAGGTCTCCCTCCAGAACGTGTCATGAACATGTCCAGAACGCTGTAGCTCATTTACTGACAAATACTAAGAAACGTGAACACATCACACCGGTTCTGTGTGACCTGCACTGGCTCCCTGTCTCATATAAGGTGCAGTTTAAAATGTTATTAATTGTTTTCAAATGTTTGCACTCTATGGTTCCAGTCTATTTGCGGGAGTTACTGCAGCCCTGTACTCCGCCCAGAGCCCTGAGATCAGCCGACCAGCTCCTGTTGGTCGTGCCCAAAACCAGGCTCAAGACGAGAGGTGACAGAGCTTTTTCTGTGGCAGCGCCCAGACTGTGGAACAACCTTCCTCTGCCTGTCAGACCCTCTCAGTCTATAACGCAGTTTAAGACGAGACTGAAAACTAACCTCTTCTCCCTGGCATTTAGTACGAGCTAGTCAGGTTATCTTGGTTTTTTTATTGTAGTTTTCACATGTTTTTTGTACATATGTATATGTAACTGTTTCTTCTATTTTGCTGACTTGTATGTGAAGCACTGTGGTCAGCTGAAGTTGTTTTAAATGTGCTATATAAATAAACTTGAATTGAATTGAACCTCTGCAAATACAAGGACTGGATGGAATATTTAAAAAAGTGTCTCCACACGTCTCCAACGCTCTGGTTCACTAGTGAAGGCTGTACCAAATGGTGAAGTTTCTTGAGTGCATCACATGTGCATATTAAACATTGAATTTATATATTTGTTTGACTATTACACATTGAGTTGTTTAACCACTGAAATCTTATGTATGTTTAAAGGTACCACTGTGTGAAACATGCATGCTTTTAAGGTAATCTTTTGCAGATATAGGTTGTGTTCTTTTAAGGAAATTCATTGCAGAGCAGCAGCAGTGGAGATGGTTCGGCCTGGTACGAAACCAAACAAACTGGTGATTTACATTTAGCTGCTGTCAACCTTCCTGAACCTAAAGGAATGCAGAGAAACTCCAAGGAAGATTCAAGGCATTACCTGTTCAACATATTATTTGCATAATCATATGGATGTCTATAAAAATCTGGGTTATGGTATTCAGAGGCAGTCAGATTGCCTGATTTAAGACCTCTGTAGCCATGGGCAGTTAGGGACAACGATCTGACACAGAGCTCTGTATTAGAATTGTATTAAATAGGGAATAAATTATTTTTGATTTTAATCGATCGATTCCAGTGGTTATTTTTAAGAGAACATGCTTAATGGTTTTTGAAGATACCTAACAGTAGGAAATGAGGTCCTATGTCCAAAATTCCAAACGGCCCCTTTAATGTATTCAAAAAGTTATTTTATTGACCATAAATTCATATTTTATTCTTCCTTAAAAACAAGTATTTTCACAGTCCTGACTAAGTTATTTCAGTTAATTTATTAGGTCAGTTAATTTAGGTCTAAGGGGAAATGTAGGTCAAATAATTAGGTCAAATAGAGAGACAGTAATGTTGAGGGAACCGTCTTTGTATATTGATGCATTTTGTGTGAGTCACAAAGTGGACACTCTAAAGTTGGCTATTTACATGTCCTGCAGCTTATGTTAAATTAGAAAGCCATAACAATCGGACAATAAAACGTTTTGTAACTAGATGTGAATTAATGTGTGGCCCTGGGTATGGGTGCCACACTGAACCAATAAACAGTGAATATTTAAATGGAAAAGTGTTTTGCTGCTCCATTGATCTGTTTTATTGTTTTCTTTTTAGTGATCAAAATGGGATATTAAATGTGACACGAATGAGAACAATATTTGTAAGTCTAAAAAATAAATATGTTACAAATCAACATTAAACATTCAAACATTTTAGATCAAATGTACCTTCATACGCAGCTCTATGTGAATCTTTGGTGCTGCTCTGAGCGTTTGAGTGTGATGTTTCTTAAGCGCTGCCCACACGAAGGATGAGAGTTCTTAATCACAGTGAGTTCAGTGTGTTTGTGTGGTAATGTGTTTCTAGGTCACGCGTAGATTCACTACATCAACATGGATTAATGTTGTTTATTTACTCTACAGACGTGTTTCAGCGGATACTCACGGTCATTCTTAATTTTTGTTCGGGTTACGCCACTTATGATGAAGTAAATACGACAATAAAATCACCCAACTAACAAAAAATAAAACTTGTACGTTGAAAATAATGGTTCAGCACTAAAGCATGAGGATGAAACTTTGAACTGTTCATTGTCTTATGGACGATCCTCTCCAATTTCAATTTAAAACTGAGTTAAAATCTCCTTTAGCGAGTGAACAGTGATGCCTCAGTCTTCTACTTACTAACTAAACTAAAACAAAAAAATGTCTTTGATAGTTTTAGAGCCAAGTCCTTGTTTTGCAAGTCTCAAGTTAAGTCGAGTCCCAAGTCAAATACAGGCAAGTCCAAGTCAAGTCTCGAGTCACTGGCCCATATGTCCAAGTCAAGTTTGAGCTTCAAGTCATTTAAAATCTTTAAACCAAAGTACCAAATATGGCTTAGATTTTTGCAATTTATATTACTTTATTTATTCTATTTATTTAATAGGGACAGTGCATATTAATGAACATCTACAACATTGCAATATAACTATACCAGGTTATTGCAAAAATGCTGTAACACCACAAATTTAACAGAGAAAAAACAACAATAACAAGTGACAGTTCTAAACTAAAAGTGTCCACAAGTCTGGTTTTCCTTTAGCTGCTGTTTCGTGTTGGATTTGAAAGTGTCGAGTTCTAGAACCTAGTGCCTCTGACTGAGACACACTTTGTCCAAATGTGGAGCGTCTGTGTGGAGCTCACGGTTCCTCCAGGCCATGATCCTAGTTCCAATTCCACTGACAGTCAGATGGAGGATAATTCTAAACTAAATTGTTCGTAAAAAGTCATACTTATGTTTGAGTGTTTATATAAGAGTTGTAGAAATACTATTTGTTTCCTTTTTAAATGTCTTGTCAAAATCATTACAGCCAGAATATCAAGTCTTCTCAAGTCACAGGGCTCAAGTCCAACTCAAGTCCCAAGTCACTGAGCTTCAAGTCCAAGTCGAGTCCCAAGTCTTAGTCTGTTTTATCAAGTCAAGTCTCAAGTCTGACTCGAGTCCAAGTCACGAATTGCAAGTCCCATGTCTGGAACTAATAGATCAGACCAGATTGGGTAATATTTGGTGATGAAAATGATTATTATTCTATTGTGTAATAATGAAAAGTTCTTCCAGTATCTAAATCTGTATCAAGTATCCTTAAGTTTTTTCCTTAGTAGTGAGTTTTCTTTTTTTTAGTCTAGCCTCAGTACTTACTCAACTTGAGCTTGGGTCCCACACTAAAAAGTCATCTAGCATGTGCAAATGTTACAGAAAACTGAAGTCATATAGTTACCTTTAGTACACACCAAATACTGACGTACACATTTGATTACAGCATGTACGATATGTATGACCACGTTTGTACTCACGGCTATAATGTTGACAAAGTCGTTCTCTCCTAGCGTGTCCAGGATGGTGTTGATGGTGTGTTTGGCGATGGTCAGTCTGAGCCCCTTCATGCTCCCGCTCACATCCACCACGATCACCACGTCTTTGGGAGAGGTGGCTGCCTGGATGTACCTGGAAAACATAGTAAATACAGACAATAATAATATTAGGGGTGTAACAATAACCAAAATATCGTGATATCATGTCGTCAAAAGTCTCAATAATATCGTGGACCGTCACAATATATCAAATTACAAGATTCTTTGCTTAAATTCATAGTTATAAGTAATGAACTACATTGACCATGATCCTTTGCTCCGTTTTAGTGCAGACTACATGAAGAAATAGCACTTCTAAGCACTTTAAAATCTTTGTTCCTTGGATTAAGTCTTGTCCAGGCATTTTAAAATGAAAAAGTATCATATTCACAGTTTTGTTAGGCTCCACAAAATATTGCAATAAATTTAAAACGTTTGTGTAAGTCCAAGCTTGAAATTAACGCTCTATTTAATTATAAAAATGCCATACTCTGGAACATTCACGGCCTTGAAGTGAATATCTGTCCTCAATTCTCACAGTTTTACGTTATTTTTGTTAAAACGTAAAAATTGCCAAAAAGAAAAATAATTTAATAGACAAACCAATTTCTGTTTCTGCAATCAAACGTCACCACACCGTTTTCATCTGGGATCCACTGAATACCTGAAAAACATGAAGAATATTTACTTGTATTTGCAATATTTCCATTCTCGCTTATATCAGGAACCAATAATCGTTCATATACTTCAACGCCAACAGACCAGATATGTGAAGAGTCTTGCCCAAAGACACAATAGCAGTATATAAGGACTAACTTTTGAGCTTTTCATGAAAACAACCATATCAAATATGTGATCATTTATAGCAGAGGTCACAAAACTTTTTTTCTCTGGGGGCCACATTATTGCTCCCGACTGTGATGGGGTCGCGGTCGGGGAGTCGGTATAATAGAATTGTACAACCCTGATGACACAGATTATATTCTTTGAAAACCACCACACTTTCTTTACATATCAGACAAACTGCATGGTCCTTACACTGAACAAAAAAATAATCAGTCGTGCACTGTTCTTTAAAAACTCGCCACTATGTCAAGTTTTCATACTTTAACACGAGACATTTAGCTGTTTTTAACTTGACAACAGAACTCTGCGCGTGCGTCGACTGTCACTGTTTGATCTCGAGTTTGTCAGGTGATGAAAATTTGGCGGCAAATATAAATACGTCATATAATTATTTAATAGAAATAGTAATACTTCATATACATATTTTTTTTAAATGAAAAATATCAACAAACTAGAAGATGCAGACATGTTATTATTATTGCTACAAAGGAATAAAAAAAATAGGCCATGACACTTTTAAGGATTGCCTCATTGGGCCATAATAATTGTTCAGAGAGACACAATCACTCAGTCAGCAATAAAATAAATGTTAATAAAATAAAAATATATAATAAATAAAATAAAATAAATAAATAAATATAAATAAATAAATAAATAATACATAAATTATATCTAAAAAAAATAAAATAAATACATACAATAAAATTAAAATTAATGTTCAATAATGGTCAAATCCAACTTTATTTTCTGATTTACAAATAATGTCTATTGACTTGGGTCGCGAACATTTGTGACTTTAAAAATATGAGTCCCTAGAAAAACGTTTTGGGAAACACTGGTCTACTGTATTTCACCTTCTGTTAATTGCTATTGTGTTTCCAACCGGCCTGAAAATCACCTCCTGACACCACCGCAGGAGTCATCACATTTGACCTGCACAGTCAGATGCTGCGCTGGTGAACAGTTCAGCTTGTGCGGCTAAAAGCTACATACAGTTCTGTTGATGTGGCTGTAACACTGAATGTAGCAATAAAAATGTGAGAGAGAAAAAAACAGCGGAGTCAACAGAAACTGGGACAATCTGTGAAACATATGTTGTCTTCAGAAACTGTGATAACTCTAATGTTTTTAACTGATTTCAGTTTAAATATTGTACTGCTGTTAGTTTGTAAGAGGAAAGACCAAATTCATTAGTTTAAGAATGATTCAGGCTCATTCAGAATTCAGTTTTAAAGCATATACAATCAACTTTTTTGGAGCTTTTAATCATGTTACAGTTGTTTCTCCTTCTTATTTACCCACTCAAAGATTTATTTAGAGAAATTACATCTTTATCCTCCTGTTATCAAGATCTCATTGCTCTTATCTTCCCGTTTTCACACCACTGGTACATGGATCCTGAGCTGTATCAGTCTGAAAGTCTGTTAAAGAACCTGTACCTGATTTTTTTTTCTGACTTATATGATCAAAATTTAGCCCCAGTACTGATATATTTTATAAGCTCGAGGTCAAAATAAGTCCACTGTCTACTGTCAGTTGTTAGGGTTTTTTGTTAAGCAGTTTACTGTCCAACAATCAGGTGTGGAAGTGTGCCGTTAGCATGCTAGTTGTTGTGAGCGTGTTACGGTTCAATCAATCAAAATTTTTTCAACACAAATTTATAGAGCACTTTTCAGGTGAGTCTTGAGGTTAGTATCTGTGACTAGGGATGGGCATTCGATTAAATTTTCGATCATCGGGAGAATTAATGAACAATTATCGATTAATCATTAACGTTTTTATATTAAAATTCATCATCATTATTATTACTATCTGCGCTACTAATCTGCATAAATAAATTCAACTTCACGACATATAAACCGTAACGACTCTAGAGCCACATCAGCCCGTTTGACATTTTAATGTGTTTAATGCAGATCTGCGCAACTCTCACGGAAACAAAACTTAAAACCGTATGGCTAATTTGCATAAACTAAGTGAAGAAAAAATAAATAAAAACAGCTCTTGTGCGCTGATGCGGGATGACTCAGTGGAATATAGGTTAAGGTGATCATATTTGCGTTTGTCAAAACCAGGACACCGTACGGGGGGAGGGAGGTGGGGCCTCGACATTGAGCGACTCTCACCTGGCAAAGCTTTTCATGTTTTCGGTGTCCTGGAGAGTTTTTTTCCCACTGGACACCGAAACATATGTACCTGCTTTGTACACTGTGCACATGGCCACACACACTCCCGACCGGGACGGAAAGCGTGGAATTTCTTGTACAAGTCATCGTTAAATACGCATTTGCGCTTCGGCGTGTTGCAGACTGACAGACTGTTTGTGTCTCGCTCCTTCTGAGTGCAGAGAGCTACATGTCCGGACCTCTGTTTGTCCCCGGACACGGACGTTTGGTCACCCTACGCTACAGCAACCTACATTCAGTTTGTCGATTAAAATGAACATAATCGATGAAATTCTTAATGATCAATTATTGATTAATTGACTAATCATGCCCATCCCTATCTGTGACATAACTATCTTTTTAACTACTAACTATCTGAAAATCTGACATAACTATCTTTTTCTTTTTTTTTTTTACAACTAACTGTCTGGAATCTGGGACACTAACTATCTGGAACCAAAAGAAAAAAAGAAACCCCTCTGCAACATCAGCACATACAACAAAAACACAGTATAGACAATAACGACAAGACAAGCAACCCGGGAGAAGAGGGAATTTGAGTCGACCCCAAAATATAAACAGACAGCCTCTAGATCCTGCAGCCAGGGGGCGCTGGATACAACAGACCCGCCCGCCAATTCTGTGTGGGGCAAAAGCTGCGAAGGTGTATAGAATATTTTGTGCTCAAGTCTCTCCCGGACGATTAACCAGGCAACCTTGGCTGGGGGAGGCCAATAAATAAGATTCATCATGTTTTGGTTTGGGGTCGAGGCAGCTTTTCATAACACTTCTGATTGTCTCCTGGTCTCGGTGACGGTAAAACTCTGCTCTGACCTCTGAAAGTTGTGAAAAGTGCTTTTAAACTCATCGCGGTGAATAATTAGGATGCTCTGAATGCATAAAATAAGTGGAGGAATAACTTTTGACCACAGCAAACTGTTTATAAAGAAATAGTCATGATTTTCATGTTTTTAAGACACTAAAAATCAGGTACAATCCGTGTATCATTCATTCATTCGTTTTTCAAAATAAAAAAAACAAAAAAACAACTCTTCATGAAATCTTCCTTATTTGTCTCCACAACCAAAATGAAAAAGCAGAAAACGATTCATTTCTGTTTTTTTTTTTTTTTTTTCTTTCAGATTTTGTGTTTAAATGAATAATGAAAAAAGATAACAGATAACGGCTGTTTCCCGTTTCCGTGATTTAAACTGCGCCACATAAAGACTGAACCAGGACTGAACCAGGTCTAAACCAGGACTGAAACAGGTCTAAACCAGGTTTTAACCAGAACTGAACCAGGACTAAACCAGGTCTACCAGGACTAAACCAAGACTAAACTGGTCTCAGTCCTGGTCTGGTCCCAGTCTTAGTCCTTAGATCATCCCAACACCTGGCACCTCTGGACCGGTCCCTACGCTCCCCTGGTTCAGTCCTGGTTTAGGAGAGACCAGACCAGGACTGAGATCAGAACTGAGACAGAGACAGAGACTGAGACTGAGACCGGGATCAAACCAGGACGGAGACGGGGACCAGACCGGGACTGAGACCAGGACTGAGACCAGGACTGAGACCGGGACCAGACCAGGATTGAGACCGGGACCAGAGCGGGACCGAGACCAGTTTCGTCCTGGTTTAGACCTGGTTCAGTTCTGGTTTAGACCTGATGTAGACTTGGTTTAGACCTGGTTTAGTCCTGATTTAGTCCTGGTTTAAGTTATGTCAACGGGAAACGGCTGTTATCCGTTTTTTCCATTATTCATTTGGACACAAAATCTAAAACTGAAAAAGTGAATAGTTATCTGTTTTTTCATTTTGGTTTTGGATACAAATAATAAAGAAAATTGTTGTATTTTAGTTTTCTTATTTTTGGTTTTATTTTGAGAAACAAATGAACGAATGATACACAGATTCAGTTCCTTAAAATGATGATGATGATAAATAATAAAGACATTTTAAAGCAGTTTATTGGATTTTAGTGTTCTTGTATATTCACTGAGCTTTCATTTCTTTTATACCATTTTGCAGAACTGTGATAAGGTCCATGAAGCGTTGAAACTAAATAAATTGCACTATTTTCACATTTACCTGGGTACAGTCTGAAGAAGCCTGTCGCACTCCCAAAGTACTGCCAGGTGAGGGTTGGATCTTTCTGGAAATTTTCGATGAAAACGTCATCAAGGACTTCAGACATGTAAACTCCATTCACGATGTCCGGGTCTGAGAAGAGAAGAAGATACAGAAGAAGAAGAGATACAAAGGCCTGTCAAGACAACATGTTATGAAGTGTGACGAAGCTGAAGTAAATATACACGATAAACAATAATACTGAAACTAATTTATGCAACTGACACAAAAACCCAAGAGCAGATTTAAACCACAAAACCCCCAAATTTTCAGTTTCGCTCCCACCCACACTCGCAAAGAATTGTAATTTTGATTCCGGTTCCCGCCTGCATCTGCGATATTTGTCCCACTCCTGCCCGTAAATCCCGTAAGATGGAGACGTTCGCTTTCTTAAGCTCTAACAAACACGGAAAGTGAAATTGTCTAAAATGTGAGTGAGATTAGACCACATCCGCAAGTTTAGGCTGCTTAAACTGTTTTTATTAATGCCAAATAAAATATCCAGCACAAATTATGTATGATAGGCTTACGTTAATCATTTGTATATTTTATTTTACACTCATATTTAGTTTGAGGGACTACAGTTTATCATCCCGCCTGCCCGCTCCTGCAATGAGCTTTCAAAATGTGTCCCGTGCCGTACTGTTTTACGTTGGATCCCGCGGGAGCAAGGTTCTAATACCAAGCAAACCAATAACATTTCCATTTTAGATAAGCAGATGACGAGCCCTACAACAAAAAAGTTACACAGTGCACCTTTAAAGGTTGTATGGAGGATTTTTTTTTTTTGTTTCAAACTGTCAGTGAAAGATTAAAATACCATTACAGAGACGCAGCAGCTTTGTAATTATGATGACCAAAAAAAAAAAGAACGAAAATCTATCATCTGTGGACATAGTGAGGACAGATAAACATCAGCCAATAGAAAACGAGGCTCCCTCATTTTCTATTGGCTGATGGGTTGTCAATCAAACTCCCTAGTATAACTGACTCGTCGGAGCGCGGGGATTACGTGGTTTACGCGGCGGTTCTTAGAGGCTTTTTCGAACTGTCGCTTCCTCGCATTTCGCACAAAGTTTGTCACGACGGCGGACGAGAATCCACAACCGGTTCGCCGCAAAAGAAACTCCGTTTTTTAGGTCGCTGAATGAAGAAGAGAAGAGGAAAAGGAGCAAAGCCAAACTGAGGTGATTCTTGGAGATCTCGTCCAGCGATGGCGCAACCGAAGCAGATGAAGGGTCTAAAAACTGACGAGTCGGTCGCTGAATTACTTCTAGACAGGTCACTTCAACAGTAATTCTGAACGCGCACAAGGACTGTCGCTGTATTTCTCTTCCCTTAAAAAAATCCTCTATACAACCTTTAAGTGTTACTGTGACAACAATAAATTCAATTCCAATTCAGAACGTAATGGGGAAAATGTTATTTCATCTTACACAAAATATCAAATAACAAAATAAGGAAACAAGAAATAAACTTTTAACACAATAAACACACAATAGAACGCAATTCTACTTAGTGACGTAACAATAACGGAAATATCGTGATTTGTATCGTCAAACGTCTCACAATAATACCATGGGCCATCACAATATAAATATCGAATTACATGTTTCTTTGTTTAAATTCATTGTTATGATGCAGCAATAGCTAAAAACAGAGAGAACTACATAGACCATGATCCTTTGCTCTGTTTCAGTCCAATCTACACGATGAGATAACCGTTATTAAGCACATTAAATCTTAATTATTTGGACAGAAAGTAACATATTGACAATTTTGTTAGCCTCCACAGAATATTGTATTGCGAGTCTGGATATCATTACATCCCTTATTCTTTAGACAGTGTACCTCTGTTGTAGACGTTGGTGGGGACTTGTATGTTGCTCGTTTGCACATTCACTGGGAGTTTGTTGAAATGTTCATTTTCCTCCAAAGGAAATTCTCCTCCGAGCGGCAAAGGGTTTCCATCTTCATCGAATTTGTTTATCAGCATCGAGTTGTAGTATTCAAACTGGACACAAGGGGTAGAGTTATAACATTAGGTACAGTACAAAGACGTCATGTCACTAAAATATAAATAAGAACTTTAATTTAATTTCAAACCATTATTTTTTGTTGGGGGTCCATCACCTATGTCAATGTTCTGCCTGGAATTATTCCTTTTTAAATGTCTTGACAAAATCTTAGTGTGAATCATTACGGTCAGAACACAAAGAATTCAGATTTAAAAGTGCTTCTCAAGTCTTCTCAAGTCACAGGCCTCAAGTCATTGACCTTCAAGTCCAAGTTGAGTCCCAAGTCTTAGTCCATTTTATCAGGTCAAGCCTCAAGTCCTAAAAATAGTGACTCAAGTCTGACTTGAGTCCAAATCACAATTTGCAAGTCCACATCTCTGATCTCAAGTGTCGTCCATTTGTTTTACTTCATGCGCCTTATAATCCGGTGCGCTTTATAGTCTGAAAAATACGGTAGTACAATATTCAAATCTAGCATAATAACACCTATTTTAAAATATGGTATAGAATTTGACCCCAATTATGAGCACCATATAAAGTTAACGATGAAAAAAATATATAATTACTGTGTCCCTGGTTTAGACTATGCTTAAAGTAATTCATCAGATGACATGTCTTTCATATTTAAATAAAAATAATAAATGAAAATGAAAGTAAAATATAATAATTCTGTACCTCCAGAGTGTCATTGTAGTCATGGTACAAATCAGCGTCCTCTGCAGCCTCGGCCAACCTCTGCGGATTTAACACAAGAAATTAAAGGACTGAACAATCAATAATATAAACATTTCACTGCTTTGTTATTGAAAAGTGAATGCAACAATTGGCACGGGTGTTGTACTAGGAAATGAATCGCAAAATATTACAACATAAAGACAAGATTTTGACGGGGAGAGACTTTACACTAAGTTATGTATAAAATAAATAGACTGTACTTTTTTTTTTTTACACACACAATTACAACTACATTACACGCTCAAGATTAAGGAACGAAATCGTGCAAGATCGTTCTCCATTTGTCGAATGAAATTTTATCCCTTAAATAAGTGCTTCAAATAGTTATGATTTCAAATAATGTGTTGGGTTTTTTTTTGTTGTTTTTTGTAACTTATGCTTTATTTGTCAATATGAACACAAGTCTTGCATTTTATGATGAAATGTAAACAAATTGTACCTTGACAGATTTCATTTTCCTCCCGAGCATTTCCTCCATCTCTTCGGCGAACTGTTTGACCAGCTCCTCCCCGTCCACCTCCTCCATCTTCACCGTGCCCTCAACGTCCTTATATTTCTGTAAAAATATAACATCATGTCTATATTTACTCAAAGCCCAAAATAATAAAGAACAGTACAAATTTATAATAATTGTACATGGATCATGGTTTTATTTTGATACTGGGATGGTCTTAAAGGGTAGCCTGATTCATGAGCCGGTTTCACTTTGTGGAAACCGTCTGACCTTGCAGCATTACGATTCGTTCGCTCGACAGTAGGCGGCTACTTTTTTTAATTTAACCAATCGCTGCTATTTGGTCGTGATGTATGTAATGCGCCAGAACATTCAGTGGTGTCCAAGTAATTGCCGGCTCAACAGCAAACAAAGCAGAGAGTGAACATGTCTGTCAACGATCACTGTCATTTCTGCGAGATGAAATTGCGAATTAAAGGTGCAATAAAAAATGTGAAGTTTGTATTTGACAAAGGAAGTCCAAAGGAGGAGAGCGTATGTAGTCAGCTATTGCAACTCAGGTTTGTTCAGCTCTTTGCTGATTGGCCGGTGCGTGGTCTACAACTTCCGGGGTTTTTGCAATCCGTCTAGTGTATTCTGATTCCTGACATAGTCGTTGGAGAGAAATGAAATAATGGGCAACTTAAAGGGCCCATATTACACTGTCTTCTGATCTCTGTTATAATGTTGTTTCCTCATCACTAGGGCTGGGTGTCATTAAGAAGTTGGCGATACGATATATACCTCAATACATAGACCACGATGCTTTTGGTTCAATACGATATATTTCAAATCAATGCGATACAGTTCAATTAAAAAAAAGGGAAAATCATGGCTGTGATACTAAAAGTCTTTGTTAAACCACTTCTTGTGCAAAGTTCATATGAAACACAAACATTTTAATCACCAAAACAGTGAAAATGTCAAATGTGTCACATAAACAAGTTTCTTCCCTCTAAACGAACAACAAAACTGTAGCTGTAACAAAATAATTTAGTAAAATAAACCAAAAAAATACTCTTGCTGATATATTGATACAGCAGCCCACGATATCGATACTGTATCATCACATTAAACAATACGATATATCGATATTTCAATATTTTTGCACACCGCTACTCACCACAGATAAACCTGGAGTTGTGTTTGTTTTGTTTTTTTTCATTCAAACATGTTTAACACACAAACCCTGCATATTTAATGTAGGATGAGTTCTTCTCTCAAACTGAAAACACTCTGTTCCACTTTGTGATGTCATGTGGTAATACAGGAAGTGCTCCACTGCGTTGTTAAACTCCATACACCTTCTCTGGAATCTAATGGATAATTTCAGACCTGGAATTGCCAATCTCTACTGACCAAAAGGTAAAAGGCTCGAAGCTCACAAGAGTCCATTTTAAGTGTCTGTTGTATTCTTTCCTGCATTTTGTAAAGTTCACTGATTTTCTGTTTGAAAATAGAAATAAAGATAAAGATAAATAAAGATATAGCCTTGTCTACAGATTTCCCTTTTCCCTTATGGTTTATCCTCTTCCATGTAGGCCTCCTTGTTTATTTAGTTTTATATTAAATCTTCAATATTCAGGCTTCATTCAGTCCCCAGTGCATCTCCCATGTTTATACTTCCTCTAATCTCAACATAAAAACTTAAAGGATTGACTTTAGAGCCGTGTACCTTTTTGCTGTATTATTTTAAGCTTTTGAACCAAATGTTTTTACTCCCGACAGATGGAGAGAGGGGCCATGAAAGAGAGTGTAATGTTTGTGGGTTTGGAAAATGCTGAAATTATGATTCAATAAAATATTACAGCAAATACTTTTGTACAACACTTTGTTCTTTTGTTCTGCAGTTGTATGTATTCACTTTTTCATGGTAAATGTAAAATGAATATATTTTACAAGTATTCTAAAACAATGTATGTTGGTTTTACTACTGGTAAATATTTGTGATAAATGGGTTACGTATTGCTTTAACTTTCTATTTCAGTGGAATCATGTAGGCGCATCACCTCCAGAAAGTTACATACTGTATCTTTAAATTAAATGTTAATGGAAAACTTAATAGATTTACTTAATTGTGTAATAACAATTATTAATTTGTACTGACTCCATACAACTGTAAAACAAGTCACCCTTATGTAACATATAATACTCCCTACAACTGTACAGCAACTCACCCTTATGTAACCATAGATTGTATAAAAGAGGGGACTAACAGTGACGTCACCCATAGAGTTCCTCACAGGTAAATGAAGCTCGTGATGCTGGAGGTCACAGGGGCAAATTTGGAGCCAGGCTCAGTGTTACGAATAAGATTTTTTAACAGGCAAGATAAGATAATACAAACATTTTAAGACCAAAATGACAAGGCTCACAGCAGCCAGTACCGTATTTTTTGGTCTACAAGTCACACTTTTTTCATGGTTTTGGGTGGTCCTGTGATTTATACTCTGGTGCAACCTATATATTAAGATTTTCACACTGACAGCGTCAGTGAGAGGCTCTAGGCTTGTGTATCAGTATTTGCTGCTACTCTTACTCCTGTACCACTGTCACTTCACTCTCTGCGCATGTCTCCTGCAGAAAGAGCCTCTGTCCTGCTGCAAGTAGCAAAATATTCAGCTGAAAACGGTAATCGGGAAAAGTCTGGAGTGAGCGAGACACCAGGAGGATGCACCATGCAACTTTCCTGGAAGTCACTGGATGGATCGACAAAGCCTGGACTTCAGTGACACCGAAACCATCCTGTCGGGATTCAGAAAGGCCGGAATAATTCTAATTGGAACTGATGCTGAGTCTGACGACAGCGACACAGAAGAGGAAGTGGAGTTCTGTTTACCTCCGGAGGTCGGGGAGTTGCTCAGAAGTGACACCGAGGATGAAGAATTGAATGGATTTAGTGATTTGGAGTGATTGATTGATTGATTGCATTTATATAGTGCCTTTCAAGATACCCAAAGCGCTTTACAGTTCATTATTCAGTCACTCCACACTCAGTGGTGGTAAGATACTATTGTAGCCACAGCTGCCCTGGGGCAGACTGACGGAAGCGAGGCTGCCAATCTGCGCCATCGGCCCCTCCAACCACCACCATCACTCACACTCACACCACTTTCATACTAGGCAATGTGGGTGAAGTGTCTTGCCTAAGGACACAATGACAGTTTTTTGCCACTGGCGCCCACTGTGGCACCTGGAATTCCCAGCGGTCTCCCATCCAAGTACTACCCAGGCCCAGCCTGCTTAGTGAGAAGGAGAGTTTGGTAAACTTGTTCTGTTCTGTTGTTTATGTTATATTTATCTGAAGAACTGTTCATATGTGACGTTAACAGTCTGTTATTCTCTGTTCTATTGTTATTATTACAACTTGCCTTTCAAGATAAAATGTCTTGCCTGGAAGAATCCAGACTCATCGCTCCTTCTGGATTTCCAGGCAATAAAATGTCAGTCCCTGGTCTCTAATTTTATAAAATAAATTTCCCCCAGAAAGTGTGACTTATATACTAATCCAGTGCAACGTTACATATGTTTTTTTTTTCCTCATTATGCATTTTTTGGCTGGTGTTACTTATACTCCGGAACAACTTATAGTCCAAAAATACAGCAGTTATCATTTATATTGTTTCTCTTTGTTATTATATTATAATGTGATGTCTGAGCTACTGTGTCCAAATAATTTCCCTTGTGGATCAATAAACTTTGTCTAAATCCAAGTCTACACCAGTCTACACCTAAAATAACCTCTAGCTGCAGCCCTAATTACTTGTGAATTTCATTATTAACATACTTGCAAATGAACAGTGCTGTAGCTCTATATTTCGTGAACAGATTGAGTGATTTGTCAGTGTGTGTTTGAGTAACAGATGGTGAATGGGGAACCTGCAGGGAGCCACACGGGACACAGGAAAGCACAAACCCTCATTATGAAACAAATATTCACAAACGTATAGAGCATTTCGCACAGATACAAACACAGGTGCTAAATATTCCCTTAAGACTGGAGCTGGACTCGTATGAAAGGACTGAGGTGCAGACTGAGCCAAAGAGAGATTTTCAGCTGTTTGTTTTTGTTTGGCGTTATAGAGGTAACTTTGTTTGTTAAAGGTACATTGTGTAAGTTTTCTGGCGGAGGGGAGGGTCCGTTAAGTGCTTTTCTCCGTGGAGATGTTGTTGCTTTCTCTGGAATGTTTCACAGTACGGCATTAAGCATATCTCCCTTGAATTTGTTCAGTTGCAGGTGTTTAATAGCTCAGAAACACCTTAAAAAACACATGCAGGCTTGCTTCTCCATAGATCTGACCATTAACCTGTCTCCATTGTGGTGACCAAGTTTATTTACATACTGTAGAATAATCAAGGCAAAACACAGGTGCTAAATATTCCCTTTAAGACTCGAGGGTCTACCACCTGCTTGACTCCATGGAGAGTTCACCTGAAGTTACACAGAGCACCTTTACATTAGACTCTGTGCTATTACAACATAAATGTGACCTACTGACACACTTTGCAGCTGACGTTAGACTTGAACATTAACAACCACATCAAATCAGTAACATCTTCAGCCTTTTACCATCTAAAAAACAGCAAAAATCTAAGGTTTACTGTCTAAAGCAGACTTGTAGAGACGTATCCACGCGTTTGTCTCCAGTAGGTTAGACTACTGTAATGTTCTGCTCACTGGCCTCTCAAAACGAGCTGTGAGACTCTGCAGAACATCCAGAATGCTGAAGCTCGGGTCCTTACTAAAACCAGGAAGTATGAGCACATAAGCCCTACACTCAGGTCTCTGCACTGGATTCAGAGAATAGACTTTAAAGCGACTCTGCTCGTGTACAAGTCTCTCCATGGCCGAGCACCGAAGTCCATCTGTGACATGTTAGTGCCATATGAACCATCTCGCACTCTGCTCTGAGGAGCTCAGAGACCGGCCTCCTGCTGGTGCCCAGAGTCAGGACTAAACATAAGGACTCAGAGTTTCAGATTCATGCCGCTAAAACCTGGTACAGTCTTCCTGAAGATGTGAGACAGACTCTGCTTTGACTCTGTTTAAAACCAGGCTCAAAACTGTTCTGTTTAGCTGTATATGACTGAAAGGTTTTCATTTTTCATTCTGCACTCTTCTCTCTCATTTAAAGTCTCTCTCTCCCTTTTTTTTTTTTTTTTTTTTTTCAAATTTACTTTTTATTGAAAAAGCAGATTACACATTGCAATGTATAGAATGAAATCACACGTTCCTGCTTTTACATTTTCTTTTAAACATATATAAACTCAGAACAGGTTGGGGAGCCAGGGAATCTCTTTCACAAATTAATCAAACACTGCAAATATGTAGCAGTTTTATATGAAGTCTGATCTCACTGGTTTTGCATACTCTGTCCATTTAGACCACATCTTGTAAAATAAGTCCAGCTGCACTTTGAATAAAAATGAAACCTTTTCCATTATATAGATCTCTTGCACAATGTCGGTCCGGTTCTTAATCGTTGGTCGCACAGGTTTCTCTCTCTTTCTTTTTAATTTTATGATCATTATTTAGGTTTTGCTTTGTTTTTATGGTGATTTTAAGGTATTTCTTATTCTGTAAAGCACTTTGAATTACTTTGTGCCTTGCCTTAGCCAACTTTCCTTGGGATATGATGAACGCTGCTCTGTCTGAAGATCTGTTTCTCAAGTTTAGGCTTTAATCTAGCTTTCGTTCTTTTTTTTTTTTTTTTAACACATTCTGACCAGAAAGAACTGACTTTTATGAACTACAACAGGTGAGGTGATTCGTGCTCTCACCTAAACAGGACCATGAATGCTCATAGTGACCACAGTAATATGGAACTTTTTTGGTAGGGGGTCTGTAAGCTGCTTGTCTCTATGGTGCCATTACTTCGCCAGGAAAATTTCCACCATATGGCATTAAACGTTTCATCTTATATTTAAATCAATTTCCACCACCAGGAAAAAATGACATAGTGCACAGATATGTAATTTCTCTGCCTATGAGTCTTACCTTCTGCAGCAGTTGAGCTCCTGAGTATCGAGCGGATAAGGCATTTAGCTGCTTTCCAAAAGACACGGCCCATTTCTGCACACTGTAGACACACACACACATAAATGTCAGTAAACGCACTGTGTTTTGATGGATTAATAGACTTAATGTCAGCTCCTGTTTAGTTTGACATAATTAGACAAAAGGTTAGAGTATTTTCAGCTTGAGATACTCCATCCATCCAATCTTATTTCAGTCCCAAAATTTTATACCATGACATGAAAAATGAGTACCAAACTGATAAGAAATACAGTAGCTTTCCTTACAATAAAGTGAACAATACCAGTAGATAGAGACACGCACATCCAATAAAAGTTGTGACTGCGACAAAAATTGTGCAAAACAAGAAAGAGATCTGCACTGCATTTAATTGAAGCTCCCATTTTTTTAATTTTAAAACGACAGTCCGGAATTTTGGTCATAGGACGTCATTTCCTAGTGAGTCAGAGTGTTGGAGACGTGCGGAGACACTTTTTTAAATATTCCATCCAGTCCTTGTATTTGCAGAGGTCACTGGTGCTAGACTAGTGCATGTCAATGGTCATAGTTATCCTGCCACTAAAAACAGTCTTACCCACTCCACAAAACACCCGAAGAAAATCTATTATTACACCAGACTGTTGATGTAAATGTCTGTGTCGATAGAATAATGTTTGAAATAAAACTAACCTTGCATCGCGTGAATCGTTGCATGTTGAGGGACTATTTTCTCATATATCAGTCCGCCACTGCTGCCAAGCTTTCTATCAGGAAGTACAACTCACTGCTGCTGCTCAGATATAAATCCTTCAAATGCAAGGTTGGTTTTACTTCTAAAATTATTCTATCAACACAGACATTTACATGGACAGTCTGGTGTAATAATAGATTTTCTTCGGGTGTTTTGTGGAGTGGGTAAGACTGTTTTTAGTGGCAGGATAACTATGACCATTGACATGCACTAGTCTAGCACCAGCGACCTCTGCAAATACAAGGACTGGATAGAATATTTTTAAAAAAGTGTCTGGCTCACTAGAAAATGAGGTCCTATGTCCGAAATTCTGGACTGTCCCTTTAATGACACTGCGACGTTTCGGGTTAAGCCCTTCTTCAGACATCTTTCTTCTAACAATAAAGCGAACCTATCAAACTGATTCCAAAACTGCTTGCCTTTTTTTTTTTTTTTTTTTTTAAACAATGCATTGAAATCATACCCAAACTAAAGCAAATTATTTACTCTCTCTGATAGGGGTGTAACGATATTCAAGTCTCACGATACAATATCGTCACGGTCTGAACCTCACGGTACAATGTTTATTGCGATATCGTGGGAAAGCTCACGATTTAACAATATCTAAGACTCTTGGTACAATATTTTCACCATACACATCTCATGGTACGATATTTATTGAGATATTCTGTGGAGGCAAACAAAACTGTTAATATGCTACTTTTTCCTCTTAAAATACCTTGACAAGACTTAATCCAAAGAACTAAGACTTAAAAGTGCTTAGAACTGTTATTTCTTCTTGTAGTCTGCACTGAAATGGAGCAAAGGATCATGGTCTATGTAGTTCCCTCTGTCTTTTTTTAGCTATTGCTGCACCATAACTCTTAATTTAAGCAAACAGACTTGTAATTCTATATATATTGTGATGGTCCACGATATTATTATGAAAACTTTGATGATACGATATCACGATATTTAGGTTATTGTTAAATCCCTACTCTCTGTCAACGCTGTCTTCAAGTTTGTATATTTTTTTTTTATTTTTTTTTAATTGTTATTAATACAAGCTGCGGTCCTCCACTTTGTGCATGTTTTAGAATCCAAAAATAAATAAATAACATTAAAAAAAAGACAGATTGCCTTCAGTGAAATCAAAAAATAGGAAAGTGCTTAGGCAATATAGCAACACAAAACCATGAATAATTGTAAAATACATTAGAAATACAACGTTTTGATACGTGCTCTTGAACAATACTGCTTTATTTGTGTTATATAATAGTTTTTCCAGTCTATTCTAGTTATTTCTTATGCTATAGATTCGGTTTAGTTTTGAAGGAGCATTGCCCGTTCTCATGTAAAGAGGTTAACATGCATTCGGCAATAAGAGCTTAACAGATTAAAGTGCAGGTGACGGTGCTGTCTGCTGCTGTGGGTCATTGGGTTACACAGTGCTTAATAAACCCTGTGCCGTTGGATCCTTCGGTGTAAACAGTAGCTTTACAGTTACAGTGGACAGGAAGAGGCAGATGGCTCAGGCCCACAGGAACACAGCCAGATCTCAGCTTGGAGCCAGGAGCAGTTGTCACGGTTTCCTGGTAAAAAACTGAATGTAGAAATAGACCGAGCTTGTGTTCACTTTTGGGTTATGTAGAGAATAACTTTTTCACTATAAGTTAATAAAATCATTTACTTTACTTAAAATCGGATAGTTTTCCTGGCTGCATAAACATGGCAAACGTCTTGCATGGAACTGTCTAGTACGTATGTTACTTAAAAGCGCTCTACCTGATTTGTACTGCCTTAAAAATGTGAAAAAAACAGAATTACTGTAGTTCTGACAGGGCACATATGTCACTTCAAGACAGTGTACTTGATTTTTACTGCTATAAAAACATTTAAAAAATGAATGTAGAAATAGACTGAGCTTCTGTTCACTATTGAGTTACATTGAGAATTACTTTTTCGATATAAGTTACAAATAAAATAATTTACTTTACTTAAAATGAGATAGTTTTCCTGGTTAAATAAAAGTGATAATGGTCTGACAGGGCACTTTCTGGTACATATGTCACTTGAAGACACTGTACCTGATTTTTACTGCTATTAAAATGGAACAAACTGAATGTAGAACTAGACTGAGCTTGTGTTCACTTTTGGGTTATATCATGATTAACTTTTTCAATATTAGTTACAAATAAATGTGTTCACTTGTAAGATGTTTTTCCTGGTTAAATAAAGGTGGTAATGGTCTGGCAGGGCACTTTCTGATAACCAGGCTGGCGCCACCTAGTGCCTCCACTCAATTTCATTTCTCTCCAGCGACTAAGTCAGGAATTGGAATACACTAGACAGTTTGCAAGAACCCCGGAAGTTTGGGCACCAGCCAATCAGCGAAGAGCCATACATTCTGAGTTGGCAACGATTCCCGAGATCGAGGATTTAAAGCCAGAATAAAGAGAATGTTTGGTGAATTTTATCAAGGGGAAAGACATTATTGCCCTTCTTCCTATGGGATTTGGGAAAAGCTTAATTTAACAGTTAGCCCCATTAGCGGTGCATTACATAAGTAACAACCAAATAGCAGTGATTGGTTAAATAAAAAAAAGTACCTGCCTACTGTCGAGCGAACGAATACTAATGCTGCGAGGTCAGACGGTTTCCACAAAGTAAAACCGGCTGATGAATCAGGCTAACTTTCTGCTATATATATATATTACTTAAAAGCATTCTACCCGATTTGTACAGCCTTAAAAATGTGAAAAACTGAATTACTGTAGTTCCTTTTACATGGTTAATATAACGATATATGACAGATCTCAGCTTGGAGCCAGGAGAAGTTATTATGGTTTCCTGTGACATATTTCCTCTAAATAAAAATGTTAAAAGGTCTGGAATGGCACTGTCTTGCACAAGTCACTTACTAGTTCATTATAAACAGTGGTTTGCAGTGGTCCAAAGTCATTCCTCATTTGCCTTATGTCTTCAGAGCATCCTAATTATTCACTTCAATGAGTTTATAAGAGCTTTTCACAGCTCTCAGAGACAGAGGGGAATTTTGCTGTGCAGTTAGCAGTATTCTTGACAATAAAACACTTTAGATGCAGACAGAACAAAGTGGAAGAGAACTGCTTATACAATATATCTGTACAAGGGCCAATAGATTAGTCGACTAGGGTGTGGCTAGACCTCTCAAAACTATGATATAACTCTGTCTATCTGAGCCAAACTGTACTCACAAGACTACACCTACACAGGAGTTTATGCAAAAACATCATACAGAAAAAAATACTATAGAATAATGTATTTATATAAAGACATGGGGTTTAAAACACTAACCACCAGGTCCGTCGACAGAAATCTGGGGGGCCGGGGCAAGAAGTCTCATATGGGCCCCCCTATAATATAAATTAATAGGAAGAAGGTCCAATTCTTGGCTCCTAAAACTCTGGGGATTCATGGTGGTGAAGTGTCAAGGAAATATATGAATCCAAGTACATTGATACACTATAGATTTAGAGAGAAATTCACAGTAAAATATCTTAAAATACAAAGTAACAACTTAATTAAGCATAAATAAAACAATTGCCCCATGTGTTCTGGTTATCTCCCAGTGTCCTGCTGTAGCATGTGAAGTGTCCAGGTCTAGTGACCTCTGTCCTCGTGAACTCTTCTGAGATTAAACCACTCACACGGAGAACAGACAGGAGCTTAGACAAATGTTCAAGCCTGGTTTTTAAAATTAGCTCAACATTTTCTGGATACGTCTGATTATTGGTGCATAATTCCCAGAGAATTTTGGAGAAAATTACAAAACATATTAAATATTAAAAATGTTAAAGATTAGTCAAAGCATGAGACCACAAATGAATCATAAAAATAAAATAAATACTATACAATGTGCCGAGAAAAATTTTAAAGTCTCCATGAGGTCTTCATATACTAGGGCCCAGCCGATATATCGGTATATTATGGGCCGATATTGGCACTTGGAGACATATCGGCCTAAATCTTGCCAATACAGGCCAATAGTCCACGTGGGCATGTTATACCTCGTTACAAAGCTTAGATGAAAAGCTAGAATGTCCATTTAATCAAATTTACAGACAGATAAATGTCCTAATATGTGGCACGGCATCAATATTTATCTGCAGAATAATTTGTTTGTGTCTGTGATGCCGTACTGCCCCTGAACACACCCCCAGAGTCACGTCACTCACATGTGTTTGTTTACAAGATCCATGTGCACAACACTGAGACGCTGCTTTAAATGCTCTTGCGTCTGATCCACGATACTGACTATAAATAAAAGTGAACTTGAGCTCAGCTTAGTCCAGCAACAAAACTACTGCTTGTTTTTTATCAAACTTATTAGTGCAGACTTGTGATCTGAGAGGAGCCTGTGTGAGCGGTGAGTGTCACAAATGTTGGTTTTGAAACTACTTTTCATTCTTTTTCCTCAAGGACAATGCAAATAAAAACACACAAAGAAGTCATATAAACAGCCTGTTTTCTCTCACACTGGCCAAGTGTAAATTGACTATAGCGGCTGTACACATGTTACTGGACATGCACTGATATGTGAACTGTGAATTGAGGTGTGAATGATCAGCATTTACGCAAATAATTAACTGCCGCGACGCAAATGCATTTGCAGATAGCAGTAGTTTACTTACTTTGTTTACTGGCAAGAATGTCATACAAAAATGCCATTAGGGCGCCCTACTATCTTTAAATATGACTAAAGAGGCACAGTAACAATAAATGTAGTCGAAACAAACCCAATATAAAATCAAGTAGAGCCAGACCTAAGTTTTATAATCAATTGAAGATTTATATTGAATTTTTACATCACTAAATATATCAGCTGAAAAAACATCCATATCGGTTGGGCCCTAGTTTAGACCTGTACAAACATGTGGTGTTATCCATGTGACCATTGTAATAGTTCAGCAGATTTATGTCTTTTCTCAAATAATGCATCTACATGTGCACTAAAGTTCACCATGTAACTTTTCTGCTGGGGTCCGCCACATGCTTGTGTCCATGGAGATGTTATTGCTTTTCGTGGAATGTTCCTCAGTATGGCATTTACCATACCGTACCTGTTTAGCATTTATTCAATTTTATGTGTTTTTATTAATACATTAAACTTATATAGTATATGTAAGGCTGTGCAATTAATAGAATTTTGATCGCAATTTCTATTTGTGTGTCAAACGAGTTGAAACTATTTATACTTAACAGTTTATTTTGGGATTTTTTTTATAGAAATAAGTATATTTATTTAATTTTTTAAATACAGAGATTGTAGAACAGCTGGATATATAGTTTATTTTGGATACATTTATGTTTTTCTATGCTTTATTTCATGTTCAAAGTATATTTTATTCATTTTATGTTTTATACATCGCAAAACTGCTCTAAAGTGCATATTTGTAGCCTATATTTATTCTCAACTTGAAGGGTTTGAAAAAAACAAAAAACAAACAAACATAATTTACGCAAAATTATCATTAACAGAATGTTTTGGGTGTTTTTTGAGAGAGAGAAAACGCTGAATAAATGCATCTTGTAACTAAAAAATAATAATTTGAATAATCATGATTTCAATGTTGACCAAAATAATCTTAATTATAATTTTTCCATAACTGAGCAGCTCTAACAGCACGTTTTGGACACTCAGCAACACTTTACAAACCAGAAGAAAGTTAGAAATACTTTAATACTTTCAAACTGTGAGGGGGTACACCTCTCCACAGATCTGACCTGTAACTTGATCTGTTGTCTGTTTTTAAAATGTAAAGTTTTTAAATATTAGACTGAGACAAGCAGGCGGCAGACCCTCCACCAGAAAGGTTACATAATGCATCTTTAACACATTTAAAAAGCTGCTTCACAAAAGTTATCAGTGAAATTTGAATGTTAAAATTATTAGTTTGTTTTGTTTTCACTCACATTTCCGGTGGGATGCTCATCTGCCCATAGACACAGACTAAATGTGAGCTGCAGAGAATAATCCACAGAAGCATGGCCCGCCCCCCTCTTCTGCTCCTCTGCTCTCCTCCAGCAGATCTGACTCGTAAACATCCACTGCTCCTCTGCTCTCTGCTCCAACGCTTCATCTCAGCAGCTGCTCCCGTTAACTCACTCCTGCACTCGCAACATACTGGGGAAAAAAAAAAAAAAAAAAGAGAGAAAGAGCGAAATCAGGGCAGTGGTGTGAAGACAGATTAAAGGTTCAGGTCACAAAGTATAGCTCTACTGTACTAAGGGAGACGAGACATTTAGATTAGAGTTATAACCTGTGAATCACTTATGAAGCCAACTCAAATACTTTTGACCTTTCAGGAAGTATAGAACAAGCAAATATAAAGGTTATGATACAATTAAATAGAAATACAAGACTAGTGGATTAATAAAATTGTTGTAAGTTGCAGCCCTAAATGACAACTTTTATTACTGCAGAGTGAAAACTTGAAAACCACTAAGGAAGCCGTTTCAAATCTTTGAGACTTTTTAGAAAGCATAGTTCAGTGGTAAGTGGTAGGTTAAGGGCCTGTTTACACGAGAACGCTTGCGGAAGTGCTTTTTGTTTAGATGGTGATGGCATTTTTGGGGCTTAAAAACGCAGAAATCTGAAACTACCCTCTAGAGTGGAAAAGCTGAATACACTCTGCCGTAGCATTTCCGTCTACACTGCCCAAGACGCAAAAATCTGGTCAGATCTGCTCATGTCAAGTATGTTGCATACATCACGTACACGTCGCCACTGAGCCGTCTGGCGTGCATACCCAATTGAATTCCACACACTTTTGCGTCACTGTATGCACGCAGATTTCCTCCTGAAAACGCTTGTCCAAACACGGAAGAAAAAGTGAAGACGCAAAGACAATTTTGCGTCTTCTGTTCAGACCGTCATCATCATCATCATCATCATACAAAAGTGCCTTGCCCGATGACACAACGACAACAATCAACTGTGGGAGCTGGAATCGCACCGCCAACCTGTGGGTCAGTGGATTTGACCGCTCAACCAATGACGTTTTTTATATTGAGAGCGGGATTCGAACCGCCAACCGCTACTGTCGCCCTAGGTCCAAATAAAAACGGTGTGATACAATTAAATATAACTATATCGACATTTGTCCTCTGCATTTGACCATCCCTCAGTGCAAATGTAACACAAATTCCACACATAAAGGTCCGGGCATCTCTAGATTTGAACCCAAAACAAAAGGAGAGAGTGCAAGCCTCTCAGTCACCATGCCGTATTTGTACATAGTATAAAATGTTGTAAAACAGCCATTAAAATTAAAATGTTTTCTATTAATTTAAAGGTTGTATAGAGGATTTTTTTAAGGAAAGAGAAATCCAGCGTGACACCACCTTCCTCCTCCACAGGTCCCTCTAGAAATAATTTAGAGACCGACACCTCAGTTTTTAGAGCCTTCGTCTGCTTCAGTCGCGCAGTCACTGAAAGGAATCTCCAAGAATCACCTCAGTTTGTCTTAGCTCCTTTTCCCCTTCTCTTCTTCTTTCAGCGACCTCAAAATGGACTTTCTTTTGCGGCGAACTGGTCGTGGATTCTCGTCCTACATCGCAACAAACTTTATGCGAACTGCGAGAGAGCCACAATTAGAAAAAGCCTCTAAGAACTGCTGCATAGTTACCTTAGAAACGTAGGGAGTTTGATTGACAACCTAACAGCCAATAGAAAATGAGGCAGCCTCGTTTTCTATTGGCTGATGTTTATCTGGCCTCAACACGTCCACAGTTGATAGATTTTCTTTCTTTCTTTTTTTTGGTCATGATAATTACAAAGCTGCTGCATCTCTGTAATGGTATTTTAAACTTTCATTGACAATTTGAAACAAACAAAAAAATCCTCCATACAACCTTTAATTCCAAAATCCACTGACCACAGATAGGACCCTATTTAAGTGAAGTGCACAAGGAGAAAAAACTAACTTCACATAGAAAAGCGTCCGAAAAGTAAAACGGGAACTCAACAAGCGACCTACTAAGTGTGAGGCGGTCTTCCTATTTGGGAAATCTGTACAGCAGCATGGATTGATTCATAGTTTTAACTGTTCAGATAGACTGATGTAACAATCCAATTTTCGATCCAATTTTCTCTGTACGATATTTTCATGATATACATCTCACGGTACGATATTTATTGCGATATTTTGTGGAGGCTGCTGTTACTATGCTACTTTTCCTCTTAAAATGCCTTGACGAGACTTAATCCAAAGAACTTAAAAGTGCTTAGAACTGTTATTTCTTCTTGTAGTCTGCACTGAAATGGAGCAAAGGATCATGGTCTATGTAGTTCTCTGTCTTTTTTTTAACCCATTGCTGCACCATAACTCTTAATTTAAAGCAAAGAGTAATTGTAATTCGATGTATTGTGATGTTCCACGATATTATCATTAGAACTTTGACGATACGATATCACGATATTTCGGTTATTGTTACATCTCTAGTCAAGACAGAGTTTGTTACCTGATTTAGAAATTAGAGAGGCACAGAGCTCCAGTCCGCTACTGGCGAATGAGTTTGAAACCTGTAAAAATTCAAAGTCAAAAAGCTTAAAAATGTATTCCAAGTTGAAAAAAAGGGTCACATCCTTTAAAAAGTCATTTAAATCCAAACTGGTAATTCACAACGTTGCTTCAAAGTCTCAAAAATGTTATATATTTTGATAGAGTCTGTTCCGATACCCAAAAAAAAAGAACAAAAATCTTCAAACGTGTCCACAAAAATGAGTTGTACGCGAATAATGGCTCTTATAATTATCCCATTGACATTTCATTCACAAATCAGATTAGCCAAGTGAGCTAAACGAAGTTAGCCGCGCCCCTAAGTGAGTCGGTGTCAGCTGAGCTCGTTACCGCCGGCAACAAAAGACTTCCTGGTGTCAAAGGTCAAATTTCTACAACAGGGGTCGCGGACAAATCGTGCCATAGTCTCTTAATCCTGTTACAACTCCAAGCATGGTCCACTTAGCTCTTTTTCTTACTTAAAAACGGGTAAAGGTAAAGGAAAACTGGTCAAAATGGACTAGAAATTTTAAAGAATTGCGATTATAAACGAAAATAGCAGGGGAAATGTCACGTATTGTGGCTTTAAAACTTCATAGCTCTGTAGTTTAGACATATGAAGTGATGATTTCTTGCGTTTGTTCGTAAAGTTAATGTTTAAATGTTTAATACTCCTTCACAAAAACATTTCTGGTGGTTTCATGAAGCTATTTATGTAAAGTTTTTAGACTCAACGAAAAAACAAAACAAACAAAGTGGTCCAGGAAACTGCATGTGCGGCCAGGAAACTCAAATCTGATTAAAAGGAAAACCAAAACATTCCTTCAAGAGGGGTATTCCCGTTCAAAAAAAAAAAAAAAAAAAAAAAAAAAAAGATCCAAAAGTGTCCCAAAAACCATCTGTTCCTACATCTCTACTCGTTTAATCCTCCGAATAAAAGAGCTTTGCGGAGTCTTGTTCAAATCATAGTTGGAAATACGAGACAATGACAGAGAGACTGATGAAGAGGAGATGGCAAGTCTTCCTCTCTGTACTACAACTGTAACTCACTCACTACCGGACCAGTTTATACCATAATCCAAGAGCCAGGATTAAACCCCTCCTCCTCCTCCTCCCTCCATCCCTCCTTTTTTTCCTCTCTATCTCATCCAACTCTCTCTCTCTTTTTTTTCCTCACTGTATCTACCTTATTCCTATAGCTGTTTACGTCACTGAAGCTCTTATCGTTGTCGTTTTGTAGTTTTATTTTGCTTTTTTGTTGGGTTTTTAATAAGAGGCACTGATTGAGAAATAACTTGGGACAGTGAAATTTGTGTATTTATGTTGTTTTGATTAACAGTTGCAAGCAAAAACGTTTTTTAAATTTGGTCAGAAATAATTTGGGGGAAGGTAAATAATGATTTTGAATATAAAGAGGTTTGTCCTATAAACCTATAAACTAAAGTGACAGAAAAGAGACACCTAGTGGACAAAAAAATAAATAAAATACTACTACTACAACTGCAGCTAGTACTGCTACTGCTACTATTACTACTACTACTACTACTATCACTACTACTAGTACAACTACTTCTACATCTACTTCTACAACTACTACTACTGCGACTACTACTGCTACTACTACTGCTACTGCTACTACTACTGCTGTTACTACTACTGTTACTACTACTCCTTCTACTGTTACTATTACTCCTACTACCACTACTGTTACTACTACAACTACTTCTGCTGCTGCTGCTGCTACTACTACTACTACTACTACTACTACTGCTACTACTACTACTACTACTACTACTATCACTACTACTAGTACAACTACTTCTACATCTACTTCTACAACTACTACTACTGCGACTACTACTGCTACTACTACTGCTACTGCTACTGCTACTACTACTGCTGTTACTACTACTGTTACTACTACTCCTTCGACTGTTACTATTACTCCTACTACTCCTACTACCACTACTGTTACTACTACAACTACTTCTGCTGCTGCTGCTGCTGCTGCTGCTGCTACTACTACTACTACTACTACTACCAGTGCTGCTACTGCTACTGCTATGACATTAAAGAGGACTAAGTTTAACAAAATATAATACATATTAAGTAAAATATAAAATACAAGTAACTGAATCCCAACACATAAAACTAAACTCAATACATTTAAATATTATTTAGTTAAAACTATAATGACTAGAACAGACATGTCAAACTCAGGCCCAGGAGCCAAATTTGGCCCACGATATAATTATATTTGGCCGGCGAGATCATATCAAATATATATTAGAGCTGCCCACAGGCTACAGATAGACTATAGAGACATTATTTATTTAAAATGTTGTTATTATTTTATATTATGCTTGTTCTGGATTCAATATTTAAACAAAACTATTATTAAACATTTATTTTAATAAGAAAAGGTTTAACATTATATATCTCAAAAGAAGAGAAAACATGCAGATGTTGGTGAAATTTTTCTATAAATATTTGGTTTGGCCCACAACTTAGTCCCAGTTTTAAATTTTGTCCGTTTGTGAATTTGAGTTAGACATCCCTGGACTAGTGTGTGGTTGTCAAAAAAAACAAACCCAGTATGTTATTGACACTGAAACTAGACTTGAAATTAAGATAATCAATTGAACAGGTATCAATACTGAAAAAATGAATGAATTAGAACAAAGTTATACCTCTCTTGAATTGTTTTGTGAATGATTTTTTTTTGCAATCAGAAATAGTATAAGGCTATATATATCTGTTCCAGTTCTCTTCCTTAGTATTGAAACTGACAACACAAGACTGGAGTATTGATAACTAACACATGTATTGGGATTGCCAAGTATAGTACTGTATACCAAACAGGTATGTATAATCATGAATTTGAGAGACAATTATTTGAAAACAAGACTCCACACTGCAAAAAACACTAGTGAATTAGGAAAGACATGAAAGTTGAATTTAAAGGGCTCATATTACTGTATTTTTCGGACTATAAGTCGCACTTTTTTTCATGGTTTGGGTGTTTCCTGTGACTTATACTCTGGTGCGACTTATTTATTAAAATTTTCAGACTGACAGCTGCGAGAGGTTCTAGTCTTGTGTGTCAGTATCTGCTGCTCCTGTTTCTCCTGTACCACTGTCACTTCACTCTACTGCACATGTCTCCTGTAGAAAGAGCCACTGTCCTGCTGCAAGTAGTGAAATATTCAGATGAAAACAGTAACTGAGCAGCAGAAAGAAAGTCTGGACTGAACAAGAAACTTGTGAGGGACTGGCGGAAAGTGGGGGTGGAGAACACACCTCCACGGGAACCGGTAGAGTGCGCCATGTAACTTTTCTGGAAGTCATTGGATGGATCGACAAAGCCTGGACTTCAGTAACAACTGAAACCATCCTGTCGGGATTCAGAAACACCAGAATAATTCTAACTGGAACTGATTTTGAGTCTGACGACAGCTCTGCAGGAGATGAAGCGGTGCTCTGTTTACCTCCGGAGGTCACGGAGTTGCTCAGAAGTGACACCGAGGATGAAGAATTGAATGGATTTTGTGATTTGGAGTGAGATGGAGAGTTTGTTAAACTTGTTCTGTTCTGTTGTTTATGTTATAGTTTATCTGAAGAACTGTTCATATGTGACGTTAACAGTCTGTTGTTCTCTGTTCTATTGTTATTACTAGAACTTTCCTTTGAAGATGAAATGTCAGTTCCTGGTCTCCGATTTTATAAAACACATTTCCCCCAAAAGTGTGACTTATAGTTTGGTGTGACTTATATATGTTTTTTTTCTTCTTCATTGCACATTTTTTGGCTGATGTGACTTATATGGTAATCAAAAAGGATTACTCAAACATGTGTGAATGAACACAAAACACAACTCGAGATCTGTTTTTGATGAGATAACAACATTATAACATGGTTTAAAGTTCACAAGAGTCAATTTTGCGTAATATGGGACCTTGAAAAAAACAGTGTCACTAAAGTTTCTCTCCTCACAGTAAAAGCAGCGGTAAAAGCCTTATATAATCTGACACAGTGACATTATTTCCTGTCTATAGTGGAAGTGCACATGTGAACATACAGCGGTGGTGTAGAACAGCTGTGCCCCCTCCCCCTCTGACCCAGATCAGGGCACTAATGATGGGATGAACTGATGAAGCCCCTCCCGCTCGGCTCCAGACAGACCACGCATGGAAAATAAATAAATATATATGTATGTAATCCAACTGCTCATGTGCTTCAATTAGGAACAAGATAGATGATAGATGATAGAAGAGGAGCCTGGTACAATACAGGAACAAAATGGAAATAGGAGGAAAAACTAAACAGACTATTTATCTCAACATGTCATCTTAAAGGTCCTATATTACACAAAATTGACTCTTGTGAGCTTTAAGTCATGTTATAATGTTGTTTTCTCGTCAAAAACAGACCTGGAGTTGTGTTTTGTTTCATTCACACATGGAAATGCACAACAACTGGACTTGACACGAGCTGTTTCCGTGACTGGCACCTGTAAAATAATGGGGCGATTGCACTTTTTTGTTTTGTTTTGAGGCAATAAAGATATTTTTTAATTTACTTACAGACTTGATATATTGCACTTTTGTAGCTAAGGTCCTAAATTATGCATTTTCTATGTCCGAAAAGGTGTTTATACATGTTTTTGTGTGTTTTGTATGAAAGAATGTGAATTTTATTTTCTGTTTTTTGTTTTTGTATTTCTGGTCCTTTAGCTTTTATTACAGCCATATGACATAACTACAGCAGCAGATTGTGAAATAACAGGTTGTAGTGAAAAAAAGGATGTATAACACTTCATTAGAGGGTAAAAGGGGGAGTTTTAATGGCAAAATTAAGAAGAAAAGAAAAATCAAGGCGAGGACAAATGTACTAAAATTGCTCTTTGGTCTTGAAGGGTTAAACTCCACACACCTTCACTAGAATCATCTGGATCATGTCGGCCTTGGAATTGAAAATCTCCATGAAACAAAAAGGTAAAAGGAGCTGTTAACTTGAAAATTA